CTGCGACTAGCGCCGCCAGCCGCGCGTCGCCGACGCGCGATCGTCTGCGACAGCGCCAACCACAGCCGCTGTTGCCGCGAAACATACTATGTGAGCTTCCGCAGGCTCGGCTGGGACGACTGGATCGTCGCGCCGGAGGGCTACTATGCAAACTATTGCCGCGGCGCGTGTGCGCCGTTCCTAAACTACCACTCGCAGGTGGTGGAGGCGGCGCGGCTGGAGCGCGCCGCGTGCTGCGCGCCCGTGCGCTTCTCCGCGCTCTCGCTCATCTATTTTGGCGCCGACTCGAACATCATCAAACGTGACTTGCCCGAGATGGTGGTCGAGGAGTGCGACTGCCCGTAGCGGCGCCCTTGTACATAGCCTGTCGCTCCGCCCGCGCCGCTCTCACGCCGCTCACGCCGCGGCACGCTTCTGCCGCTCTCGAATCCGATTTAATCCGAATCGATTATAAATAATATTCTCGACTTGTGTAATATTTTGTTCCTCGCGTTCGAAAGACTATATCCTAAAATCGATAAATAACACTATCTACACCGGACTGTTGCGTTGTCGTATCGTACGTTGTACGTTTGTTGTTATAAGCATATCGCGTATGATGGCATGTTCAGCATATCCTTCACCGCCTTCATAGAGTACGATAGTAGTCGTCGTTAGCTTATGTGACGCGGTCGGGACTGTGCACTAGTTAGTGGTGCACAGTGCCGCCGCAGGTCGTACGCGCGACATGCCACCGCGGTAGGTCGCGACTGCCGCGAGCTCGCGCGGCGTACGACACGCGGACGCGACGCTCTGTGTGTAGGTGGCCTAAATAATTTAATATGCCGTTTTCTTTCACCCCGTTTGGTGATCGCTTGTAATTATTGTAAACTGTATTATAATAATTATTATAATTATAATAATAATAAATCAACTTTTTCATAATTATTATGTCTTCTTTTATTCATATTTTCCACTTCATTCACAATACTACCCTCAGGAAAACTACAATAATCTGAAATGTTATTTGAAAAAAATCATCAGGGTTTTTTCACTCCATACTGAGTTATAAGCTATTTGCTTTGACACACACATGCAGGTTGAATTGGTCTAAATATTCTGTAATATATATTACTTGTAATTGAACCTATTTTTAAAATATGTGTGTAGTAACAGTCAAATAAAAAAAATCTGATATATATAAGTTTTTCAGTACCTACACATATCATGTAAATAATATTGAAGGGCCTGATGGAATGCGATACCCAAATTAAGTAAAACTTGTATATATAGAATGGGCAGTACCCATAGCGCAAACTCTTGTTAATTTATATCCATTATTACATATTAAAAAAGGAAGAAAACAAGACAAAGTAAAGTATCTACTAAAGTGTTTAGAACACTTTAGTAGATCTTCATCGCAGTGACATTTTTAAAATAAGACCAAACATTTGAACACATTAAAATTAATATTAGTCACAACACAAACAGAATGTATGAAAGCATAATAAAGCGTGTTTATTTATTATGCTTTCATACATTCACAATTTAACTAATCATGGACAACCAAAAGAGGTCGCAGGCGGAAGCTTTATATTGAATTTTTATTGTGACAAAAAACTTACAAGTGTTTATACCAATTTGCTCGTGACATGGTTATAATATTGCTACTCAAATGAGCTGGAATGAAACTTTTATAGAAAAAAGGACTCTTACGAGAATTTGGAGAACAGTATGTTTATACATACTGTATCAGTATATAACAGGATATATGCTATAATTATTATACATAAAAGGAACTTTTAATTGATCATACACGTAAATATTTTCCATCACTGCACCCCTGAATCTTGGCTACGGCCATAAAAATGTAGATATCTTCAACTATACCTAATACAATTAACAGTGTGGTAATATAAATCTTATATATAAAATTCTCGTGTCACAGTTTTCGTTCCCATACTCCTCCGTAACGGCTTGACCGATTCTCATGAAATTTTGTGAGCGTATTGAGTAGGTCTGAGAATCGGCCAACATCTATTTTTCATCCCCCTAAATGTTAGGGGTAGTCCACCCCTAATTTTTTTTATTTTATTTTAAGGCAAAACAACGTTTGCCGGGACAGCTAGTAGTATTATAATAATATTATAAATATATATATAGGTGTAGGATAGGCTTGGTGGTCTAGCGGTTTAGCACACCGCTTTACTTCCGATGGTCGCAGGGTCGATTCCTCGCACGGTGCAAACATTTGTATTCATGAGTAGGATTTTTCTGTATATATGTATGTATTTACAAAAAAATATCTGAGTGGTTATATCAGTTATCTAGTATCCATAACACAAGCTCGGCTTACAGTGGGACTAGCTGGCGGTGTGTTAATTGTCCAGGAGTTATTTATTTATCATTTTATATAACACAATTGTAAAACCGATTTCAGTTTCATTTTATTCCATGGAACGCTGTTATATAGCAGGCCGATCTGTCTTCTTTGAGATCTAATTCTGATCCAGCATTAGATGCAATGTTTCTCACATTTTTATATCTACTCTTAAACAATTTCATATATCTGTTTGATCTTGATTACGTTCCAAAAGAAAAGTACAAAAATGTACCTATTGGATTATATTATTTATTTAAACTTTATTGACCAAAAAATTATGGTACAAAAGGACGAGTTAATGCTACGAGCCAAGCTTCGGGCAGTGCAGAAATACTTGATAGTGGCTCAATATTAAATTACTTATATACATTTAATATAATAAATACATTACTTGTTCTGTGACTTAAAATAAGTAAATGAACATTTTTTTTAAGTATTGTTGTTCCATTATTGGAGAGAGTTTGAATGCATTCAGGGTGTGAGTTCCAGTACCGAGAAGATTATAGACTAAAAGAATGAGACACAAAATTAGTTTTATGAATGGAAATTAGAAGTAAAAAGGTTTTTAGAGTGTGGTTGGCGGTATGATCTAATATATAAAAGTCTCGTGTCACAGGTTTTGTTTTTATACTCCTCCGAAACGGCTTGACCAATTTTGATGAAATTTTATATGTATATTCAGGAGGTCTGAAAATAGATTTATAACAGATTTTTATACCCCTAACTTTTAAGGGTGGCACACCCCAAATAAGTTTTTTCATTATTTCGACAATATTTTGTTATTTTTTTATTCTGTGTCATTAAAAAATACATACAACGGTAAATTTTCACCCTTCCATCACCAACCTCTATTTTTAATAGCGATTTTAATTTATAAGGCAAACAACGTTTGTCGGGACAGCTAATAATGTACATAATGGATTGAGATTCGACTCCAGAGTAAATCTGCTGGATGTAGGCGCCGGTGTTCCGTGCGCGGAGCCGGAATCTCGCCCCAGGACGGGGAGTCGTCGGGATGCGGTGCGATCGATGGTCCAAAGAGACACCCCGGCGCCGCTCGCAATCACAATATTGCGTGTTGTAGGTAAGTAGCTGCCATTTTTAACGCATATATATAGACTTGTCTATACTAATAAAATAAAGTAAAATGATGTCAACTTGTATTTGTAAATCGTTAGTGCATATAGCTGTTATAAATGCATGCAATGCATGAACATTGACTGTTTTTTTAGAAAATGTAGATCGTCTTCATAATACAATCTATATTCATTATATATTTAAGTAAGATCCGTTCAGCCGTTGAACTTTGAAAATGCAACAAATAAATAAGACAGACACACAAGAACTAAAATTAATAATGAAATACTATGCGAAATATTGTTATAATATAGATATCAATATCACAATTTCTTCTTCTTTTTTGTACACGTACATATTTATTTCTGTTATAGTCAATACACAGAGGTTTTAACGTTTAAACTAACACAAACATGTGAATTCATCAGACGTAAACAGTGATTTCTTCCAGTAAGTTACAGTGCAGTGCGTTTGTTTTATATAATTATTATTACATTTTAGTACACTAAAAATGTACCTACATTGCGTAGACAGTTACATACCATAGAGCGTGGTCCAGTGCTGACTGGGCGGCGCGGAGCAGAGGCGCCCGCCTGTCTGTCTACTGTGACAGTAAACATTCAGTTTGGGAGATAATGCATTACCGCTAACCGATACCATCGATACACAACCACTGCCTTCATTTTAATAGTCACCCTCTAGTTTTATTGCCTCTTTTATTTATTTATTCTCTCGTAAACGTTAATGTAAATAGACTGTTTTATTTTTATCGCTTTTAGTCGCCAATTTGGAATTATGACTTATTAACGCATTGCTAAGACTAGGTACAAAAGTACTCAGCCGAACTCTTCCTAGAAGTGCTGAAGCTTTTTGCTATTTTGACAGGAGACTTAGAGCGATATCATTGCTCAGAAGATTTTAACTCCTACGCACTCTTCACCAGGCCCTAGCCGTCCATATCACTATATGACCCTTCTTGTGATAAATAGTTCGTTTATGGCTGACGGCGGAAGGTAACTCTCCTGTGGTTACACTGACAGTCGCGGGATACCATTTCAGGAAGAAAGAATGATGATGAATTGAATATTCATAGGAAATAGAATATACCACATTTGTAAAAAAAAATCAGAAATAAATAAGGAAAATATTGTTGAATAGGTAAGTGTATGCGTACGTATAATAAATCAAGAAATAAATATTACTGGACCTTTGGTGCAAATTAACGCCTAAATTTGACTTTGTAAATAACAGTAAAAATATAATATAATTGCAATTAACGAAATATTATACCCATAAATAAAGTAAACGAAGACACATCAACATACAACACTGATGTGATGTGACCTTAAAAAGCCGGTTGTCAGGTTTTAGAAAGTATGCTCCGTCCCTTTCACACACGCACACATAATGATGCGTTTCTCTATCTCATAGTATGTATTCCATGCCCATTCATGCTTGTGTTCTTTATGGATATACTTGCTTGTGGTCGTAATAAAGTTTAATACTTAGAGAATATACCAATTTAGATATACAAAAGTACCAAAACGTTATCAAAACCAAAATGGAAGACAACCAAAGTAATGTAAGTTACTTATTGCACAAGTTTCTTTACTTTTGTCCTATTAAGATCATTATTTAGATAAATACCATTGCCTACCGTAACTAAGTAAACATGTATTAGATAGGAATACTTGCGAACAATTTGAATCAAATTTAATGTAGTTATGTACCTGTTACTTAATATCCACTGAGTACACGTGCTATGAATATTATTAAATAGATGTATTTATTCAGTAAATTATTAATGGAAGTCATGTGCCGGTAATAACATCATGTTATACAAATTTTAAACGGTACCAAAATAGCTCTACATCTCGGCATTTATTCAGTACTGAAACTCTCTGGCTGTTATTTTATTTAAATATACCTAATTACGTACTGTTGTTTATTTTCCAGGATACTAAAGAATCGAGTGAGGAAGAAAGGAAAATTATTAATAAAGCTCTTTTGGAGGAAAAACCAGATATCCATAATAATAAAATAAATACAGGAATAGACACAAACATGACTATATGTCTGTTAATATGTATTGTAGGGGTGGCCTTAGGTATTATTCTTGAAATTGTAAATGTACAAAATAATAATAGAAAAACATATAAGGAGGAAACAAAACGTGAACGACCCACATACTGGGTATATTCCGCCTATAGCGATGTAGAGAATAGAAATGGATTACTGAAACATGTACATTTAGTTCTAGGAAGAATAGGGTTTGAGAAAAGCACCAACAATACGCCTTGGGCCCTGTTATGGTCTCACGATTACCCTTTCAGGGTTCTGTACCCTAATCTGCACAGATTAAAACCTCATCAGAAATTGAATCATTTTCCTGGCACGGGATTTATTACAAATAAAGTAGATTTGGCGACTTCAAAATCTAATTATATACCGAAAGCGTTCAAATTGCCTCAAAATAAAAACGAATTTATAAAATATGCATCGGAGAATAAAAACGCACTTTTTTTGGAGAAGCACAACCAACACAGAGGCGTAGTTTTGAAGAACGTGACTGAAATAGATCTCTCAAGTGGAGAAAGTTTCGTTCAGGAATACGTGCAGAAACCATTTTTAGTGGATGGACATAGGTTTGATATTGGTGTATACGTAGTATTGACTTCCGTTGATCCTTTGCGAGTCTATTGGTATAAAGGCGACATATTATTCAGGTAAGCATAGTAGACGTTCGTTTATGCTATTTATAACTTAAGTAAGTTATAGGAGAGTTTTTGAAACTCATAGTAGGAGAACATATATAATTTCTGTATAACGATTAATAATTCACATTTTAAACTGTAACGCTCTATACACACATTTAATTAAAAAGTGCAATGCTATTTAACCCAACTATGTATAATTTTATAAAAAAAAATATTTTGTTCGTATCCAGTATTACTCATTACAGCTTGGAAGCAAGATAAGATTTCTAAAATTATACACAAGCATCTACGACGATTAAAAATATTAATAAAATTTACTACTAATGGCTAATATATCCTATAAGAAGACTGACACAATGCTCAATGGTCATCTTTTCAGATACTGCCCCGTGAAATACTATCCATTTGATCCAAAGAATTTGGACAAATACGTTGTTGGTGATGACTATTTACCAACTTGGGAAGTACCGTCACTAGCTCATCCTTATACTGCGTTGGGATTCGGAATGAAAGACGTATTCGATATATACGTGAAATCCAAGGTAATTAACGTTGTATATTCTTAATAATGATAATAAATATATATACTTTCACGTATTTCAGATGATGACGGAAACTTTCCGTAATCTCAGATGGAGTATACTCAGAAGCACTGTAAGTTTACGTAAGTGGAAATGCCATATCATGATGCCATGCCATGGAAATGCCATGTCCATATTATATCGATATTATGTACTTGAATACAACGTGATAGGGGCAAGCCAATAAATACTCTATGATGCCATAGAGAGCCAATATCTATTGCGAAAAAAAACATAAGATATCTATAATTAACTAAGATAAGGCGTAACATATAAAAATAATTACCGTCCTCATTATTGAACATTTGAACTTGAACCCACGATAATAGTTTAGGCAGACAATTGTCTACGTAGGAGCGATTATCCTATAATCTAGAATATTATAAAGAGCACAATATTTCATTTGATTTTTTATTAACCAAAAATTATTTTTTCTGACGATTTTAAAAATAGCGTCTGCCTACGTTTTTACCAACCAAACTGTCTTAACGACAATAAAATTTATTGTGTAATAAAATAAATAAAAACGAATTCTAATTTCCAAAATCGTATATTTAAATCAACAAGAATTATTTGTATGTCGCACTGAGCAAGTAAATACACTAAGTTTTATGGTATGTTACTACGTCTATTTTAAAATATATAATTTTCTAAAAAGACTAATATTAAAATTGTTACAGGGCAAAGATCCTGCAAAGATGTGGGAGGAAGTACAAAGTGCAATTGCAGAAGTATTTTTAACCAAAGAAAAATATATAATTGAAGCTGTGAGTAAAATTATCTACCCATATATCAATGTTCATATATTGATATACCTATTTAATTATAAATAGGTGATTTTATAATGTTGACATTTACTTACATGGTCTCTAATGTGTGAATATATATAATGATATGTATATTTAGACTTATATGTATATTCATTGCCAATGAATATCCTTCACACGTTCTTTGTGTTTATAAACAAAATTGTTGACAAACGAACAACATTTTTTTTTATATTTCAGTTAAAAAACTACCCATCCGCGGAGAATTTCTTTGAATTAATGAGATTTGACTTAGTCGTGGACGAGGACCTGAAAGTATACCTATTAGAAGCTAACATGTCTCCAAATCTAAGTTCTGCCCATTATCCACCAAATCAATTACTGTACGAACAAGTATTATACAATTTATTTTCTCTCACCGGAGTCACAAACTATGTAAATGGATACAATATCAATGAAAGGTAAGATGAGTTCTAAGATTTAATTGTATAAAGCAGTATTTTTTTTCTGCATAAGGCGACATTAGGCCTATGGATATATACAACGGTTGTCACTTTGATGTCATGTTATTTCCTACGCCGCGCCGGTTACCTACATAAAAAGAAACTGATCTTTAAAATTATTTAATTTATTTTTTATACATAGTCTGCAAAGTCCACTGTGGCAGGCAGGCAGTGGCCTGTAATTTACAATTTTCAAGAACTATTTTCGTTCGGTTTAATTTGATTTTAAACTCTACAATGAATAGGCGAATTGATCAATTTTATTTTATACTAGCTACCTACCCCGGCTTCGCACGGGTGTACATGTATTATACCTATAAACCTTTCTCTTGAATCACACTATTTATTAAAAAAATTCGCTTCCAAATCCGTTGCGTAGTTTTAAAAGATTTAAGCATAAATAGGGACGGACAGATAGCGACAGCGACTTTGTTTTATACTATGTAATGATGATTAATATCCAAAGAATAATACCTATTCTTATAGGTATATAGGGCATATAATTAAATACGGTAGAATGAGGTTTCCTTAACATTACATTTTTAAAAAATAATAGACCATTACATTGAGGCATCCATCCTTAACGGATATCAATATTCACATTACATTTTATTGAGTATTTTATTACAAGACTGAAATTGTAGCAACAACATTCATTGATATGTTTTGCGACTTCAAAGACGTATTGAAATGAATGATCTCCGTTTATTCAGTTTTGTTTATTTATTAATAGCTAAAAATATAAGGCCTTTGAAATTTCTTTAATGAATTTGTTAGATCGCATTGTGAATGAATTACTTAGATTGTCTATTTTTTATATTTGTATTCGGGTGTTCATATTTGATTAGGTATACATAATATGATTACAAGAAAAAATGTACCTAATTGTGACATTAAAACTGTCTGCCATTTTTTACTGGATGATAATGAAATGCACCCGACTGCGCTAACAATTTATGCTGGGGGCACCAGTGAAGGTTGATAAGATAAACATAAGGTCAAGTCAGTTAGCCCATCGCGACATACTGACTTTTTCATGATGGTTTCCAAGTGTACATAGCTATCACTAGAGTCAACATTACTAACAATCCTTTTCCCCCGAAGGGCATTGTTAGTAATGTGGACTGATGACCCCATTGCTAGCAATGTACCGTGTCAGGTCGACCTTCACGCGGTTCCCCCTGGAAACCATCGTGATAAATTTACGTTGAATATGTCACGATGGGCTAACTGATCTGACTTCATGTTCATCCTATCATCCTCCACTGGTGCCCCGCCAGCATTTAGAGCAGGTTGTATTCCACTATTATCCTCTAAAAAAATCCCTTTCCCCCCATTGTCTGTCATTACTACTATGACGTCATACTTAATTTAAAATCCAATGCTTTTTTTTAGTTAAAATCTGAGGCTACATTATATAAGTAACGGACATTATTATTGACGTGTGTTTCGTTATAATCTCACTTAATGTAGAAAAAATTCAAGTTACGTTGTTCTTCTGCGATGGAATCCAAAATTACTACACCGATTTTGATGAGATTTTATATATACTCAATAGGTCTGAGAACAGGAGGTTGTTTTTATACCCCTAAGTGATAAGGGTAGCCCACACAAATATATTTTTCTTTATTTTTTTTTGATATATTTTTTCATTTGATGTCTTTATGATTCTGCATTCAAAAAAACATGTAAAACCAAATTTTAAGTCTTCTACTATTAACCCCTATTTTTTAATAGCAATATTAATTTATATCACAAAACAACGTTTACCGGGACAGCTAGTATAATATAATTATTTTATATCTACAGGAGATGTATCTTAGTTCTCTGTGTTTACAATGCAAGAGATGTACCCACGATTTTATGTGATGACGTGATAACCATGTTGCTATTCATGTGTAAGAACAGTTATCATAGTAATAATAATATAGTAATCTCAGGACAATTCAAACAGTGCCATCTAGTCCCAAGTTAAGCTAGCTAAAGCTTAAGTTATGGGTATTAGATCACTGTTACAAATATATATATATTTCTTTTTTCGTAAATACATATGTAGGTAGGAGGAAGGGGATTGTTAGTAATGTGGACTGACGATCTTATTGCTAGCAATGTACCATGTCAGGTTGACCTTCACGTGGTTCCCCTGGAAACTATGCTGATAAATTCATAATGAATTTACCACGACGGGCTAACTGACCTGATTTCATAACCAAGATGAGTATGAAATCAGGAATCATCCTCCACTGGTACCCCGTAAACCGTTAGCGGAGGCGAGTACACCATTCGTATATCATCCATAAGAAAAAAATACATATGCAGTATTTCTATAATATATAGATATACATATTATATCTACGTACATATCATGCAGGCGGTCGTTAGTTTGTTTTCAATTCCAATGACATAAAAAAGGTGATTTCAAAAAACGTATATACATAATATTTAAATTACACAAAGAGACGTACAATATTATTCTATGTAAATACAAATTTGATAATTTTCCTCAACTCTAGTTTTTGACATTTATGTTATTGGTGGATGGATGAACTGGCAACGTTTGGCAAATTTTTGCTGAGTCCGCGAGTCGTAAAAATGTTAATGAAGACACAATATATCAGTGGGAGAACTGAGATGAACACATTGTAGATACGGGAAATAAATTATATTTTTATCTTGTCTGTCGTATTTAACGATCCTACAAGTAATATTATAGCTCGCTCAATAAATGACAAAATGGTGTCGTCAAAATCGTAGTCTGAATGGACGAATATGGCAGACCCCAAAATATGTAGGGGGAAGTCCCTAAGCCCGGACGGCTCCTAAAGCCGGACATAACTTGAATCTGTACGAAGAAGCGCGCCAATTGGTTGCTTATGCCTATAAGCAAGCTTCTCTCAAGTGAAATGTGGGGACATATCCATGGCTGGGGAGTGTCAACAGCCAGTGCTGACTTGTTCGTCGCGGAGCGTGGTTTAAATTTTGAGATGAGTAAAAATTTTGTTTTAACTAATAATATGTATTCTATAAACAGTATTTAAAGTATGGAATTTTAATCATTCTTAATAATTATTATTGCTATGGTACTAATTTAATATGAATCATGCGTTTTTATGTGATTCATAACTCACAATGTTAAATAGAATTTTTCTTGTATGCATCTAAGGGTCCCTAAGTTCGGACACTCTTAAAGTCCCCTAACACCGGACAGTTTTAAAGCAAGTTAGTTTTTGTTTAATTTCTTATTTTTGTTTTTTTTTATTTTAGATTCAACATGGGTAAACCCAAACCGACATGTGAGAAGAACATCAAACATGAAATATTGAAGAAGGCCATTGATAAAGTGATGTCAAAAAAAATATCCCTGAGAAAGTCTTCTGTATTCTACAATGTGCCAAAAAGTGCGCTATTTGATTATATTAAAAAAATAAAACAAGGAGGAGAAATAATATTACCACTCAAAAAAGGTAGATATGACCCAACTTTTACCGAGGAGTACGAAGCTCTAATTGCGCACGTGGTGGATATGTCAAATAGGTGCATGCCTTTAACTAGAAAAGAATTTCTCAAATTGGCTTTCGATCTTGCGGAGCAATTAAAACTGAAACATCGCTTCAATATGGCTAAGAAAAGTGCTGTTAAACATGTTTACTATGATTTCGTCAAAGGCCATATAATAACAGATCTTAGCTTGAGAAGACCTGAGTCAACAAGTCTAATGAGAGCTGTTGCTTTTAATACGCCTCAAGTTGAACGATTTTTCAACAATTTAAAAGATATTTCTGAAAAAAATTATATAACAGATATATAATTTTTTCCAATTGTTTGTTAAATAATGTATAAGTTTAAAAATGAACGACAAGTTCGCTGTCCGTCTTTAGGGGACCTTTTTGAAAACGTCCATTTTTCTATGTTAATTATTCTTTATTATCTAGTATATTTTAAGTAACATTTGAGACTGATGATATATCTGTATTGATTAGTTATATAGCAAATAACTTATTAAAGAGAAATAAACAAATTAATCTGTAACACGTTTTTTTTTATTTTTGTTATTCCTTAAGTGTCCGGTTCTCGGGGATCTCCCCCTATCAATTTATATTACTGAGTGACTCTCCGGTCATGATAACACCAATAACATAATAAATTTATCCGGCGGTAGCCTCGTCCCCTGCAACTTTAGATTCAATGAAACACATGAGTGATAAGTCGTAAGTTACTCATAGTAATGTCATTGTGAAAGGGAATTAATAGTAATGCTATAAGAACAGAGAATTCTCACGTCCGGTCGATCTCCTTGCGGTCCTCCTTTGAAACCATCGTAGTTAATTACAGGTAAATTCGCCACGATGCGGTAACTGACCTGACTTCATGTTCATTCTATCATCCTGTCCCGTCAACGTATGCCGTTAGCGCAAGCAAATACATATTACTTGTTGGATCACAATAAAATTTGGTTGTAGAGACAGATTAGGCAATGAAATTACAAATCAGAAGTATGACATCTTCGTCCTCCGAAATGGCAATTCGTGCAAATTACAGGTATTACTCGATAAATTAAGTGGGCAGCAAGCAGGATACTAATTATAGAGTCTAATTATCTAATTATTTATTAGCTACACGACATAATACGTAAAATGAACACTAAGTACGATGTTGGTACGTTGTTTCCAGTGCTACCTATAGGTAGATAGGCAGGATAACTGTAAGTAGTAACAAAGTATGCAGACATCATTGAAGTATGTACAATGAGATGCAAACATATGTTTTTCATTTATGGATTTAGTGACTAATATTTTTTACGTACATATGTACTCACTATAAGTACCAAATTCACCACGTTCTAAGCAAAATGCTGTCAACCATTTTATAAAATGAATTTATCAAGACCAAGTATATAATGCGATAACTTTTTCAATTCCACATTGATAATGATGATTTCTGTTTTAACAGTATTATTTACCACACCAATTTTATTTAGTTGTAAAGATGGAAATTTATAGAAATATTTTAAATTAAATAAATATATTAATTTGACACGAAACTACAATATTCTTGTAAGCATCCTCTTTATCCTCTAACAAGTTTTTTAAATCTAATCTATGTTTTTACAGAGACTACACAGCTGCACAAAACATGGTATCATCACAAAAAAATATAGCTGTATGGGGAAACGAATGTACCAAACTTTGCAAAGACAACTGTGAATCACATACAATCTGTGGGCTTTGCAGACCATGTATGAACAATAAGTTAAAGAACAGTTTGCTGAGAGCGTATAAAGAATATTTGCACAGAGGCGACTTTGGAAGAATATTCCCGCCTGCACTGGTCAGTATTTTATTGGATGGTTAAGTAAATAGTACTTATTGTATTGCGCATAATCGGTACATGATATCATCAAGTATTACAGATCAGCGAGTAGAGTAGATTTTACATATTATAAGAGTCTGTAACAACAGGTTTGTTACAGACTCTTATGATGTATATACATACATATATATATTATTTGTACCGCTACGTTGACAGTGGAAAAGCGAACAATATAACGGCTCATCCGTTAACATGAGCAAAATAACAAACTCAAAGTCGGAAAATACTATCATATCAAAAGTCGATGCCATTGTAAATTATGTACAAAATTATCTAATTATTTTTTATTGAAACCAATGGCTTATTTCTTTTCTAGGAACTTAGAAAGGTAAAAATTAATAATATAATTATACTTTATATTACAGGAACCAAATAAAGAAGTATCTGATGATAAAATAAAGAGTTTGTCTGAAAAGAATAAACTACAATACCTATGGTACCAAGGAAAATGCAATAGAGATGTGAAATGGTGTACATAATAGAGAACATACATATGTTAAATTTAATTTATTAATAAAAAGAATTTATTAACTATTACCAAAAACAACATTTTTTATATACATTTTATTAAGATTCTGGGATCATTGACTGTAGCAAGCCCAGAATGTAACTACCCAAATCTTCATCTTGATTTGTCCATGAGACATAAATACTCTTAGTATTATCATCACCTTCCACTTTAATTAACACAGATTCAACTGATATGTTCCCTTCAGATATAGTTATGGTCCATCCTTCCAACTTATCTTCTAGCAAGCTTTTCAACTTCTCTGCAGTTTTTACTGCAGGACCACAATCATCAAATCGAACCGTACTAGTGAAACGAATGACATGCCTATTAATACCAATTTCATCACACACTTCATCAATATCAAGTAAAGAAAGTCTGTTATCTTTAACACAGAGAATACCATTGATAATGCGACGCCTTTTTGGATCTGGGGGTTGAGCATTGTATCTAACTGCTTCAGCTTTAAGCAGCCTTAAGGAAACATCTACAGGAATCTTAGTTGGAGTTGTAATAATACATGTTTCACCATTTGCAGGCATATAGCAATTTATATTAAACTCTTTCTCTATTTTATCCTTCAAAAACTCCATTTTTTGAGCCTCACCATGCACCAATAAAACATTCTTTGGTTCACAGTACTGTATTAACTGCATAATTCCTTTAGCATCTGCATGTGCTGAAAAAGACATATATTCTACTGCCATTTTTACTTCCACTACTTGACGATTTTCAAACTCAACCTTCTTTGCTCCATTAAGGATCTTATGTCCTACAGTTCCTTGGACACAAAATCCGGGCATTATAACCATGTTTTGTTCATATGGTGCCCATTTCTTAAATATGTTTAGTGATAAGCCTGCATGCAACATTCCAGGTGTAGCAAAGACAACCATAGCTCCAGGGTTGTCTATGTAAGACTTGTCAAATGGCTTAATATGTTTAAAATCAAACATGTTTCTTTGAACAAATGTTTTGCGTATCTTCTGATTTGTCCAAGTTATAAACATTTTATAATAGTTATTAGCTTTTTCTGTTAAACCCAGTGCGAAATAAACTGGATACTTTAAATTCATCCTTTCCCAGTATGTTTCTAACAGGATACATAACTCTTGAGCTCTTCCAAGAGCAAATACAGGAATTAGTACTTTCCCACCCTTTTCTACACATTCATGTACTTTTTTCAAGAAATCTCTCTCACGGCAACGTTTAGAATCTCTAATAGTTGTAGCGTAGGTTGATTCAGTTATCAATAAGTCTGGTCTGCATTTATCTATCCATGCGGCACCCAAATGTCTATCTGGAGTCATATTATAATCTCCTGTGTATACTACAGATTGTGTGCCAACTTTAATCCAAAACATAGCAGCACCTAACACATGGCCAGCATAATATGCTTTAATTTCAAGTTCATTATCAACCATTACAGACTGATGCAATGTTACTGCTGTTACTTTCTTTATGCAATCTTTTATCATCTGTGATGTAAAGAAATTAGACTCACCCTTTCTTTCTACAGCAACCTTCCTCATATCTTCAAGCAAAATAGGTGCTATAGCTTTTGTTGGGTGGGTCATATATATTGGACCAGTATAACCAACCATTTCAGACATATACGGCAGAGCACCACAGTGATCTAGGTGGAAATGTGATATAATCACACAATCAATCTGACTTGTGATGGGCCCCTCAGGAACAATGTAGGAGAAGTCAGGAAAACGTCGTTCGTCATTGTAACCCATGTGCATGCCGCAATCTAACATGATGTTCTTACCACCCATGGAGAGCAGTATGCAGCTTCTACCCACATCTTGACCAGCTCCTAAAGGTGTAATCTTAATATCTGGCATTGTAAATATATATAGGTAGTGGCGTAATCGATATTATATATCTTTAATTCGACTTTTATACAATAATAACTACATCTAGCAGTTATTACGTTTGTATGTCTTAAAATTTGAATGAAAACAGTGCATGTGGTGGTCCACATGCACTGTTTTGGTTGTTGACTCGTGAATTGGTCAAGTTTGATCTAAAATATTCTTTTAAAATAAATTCAGCACTTGTAACTTGACAAATTTATTTTCGTGTTGCAGTGCAATTTGTAGAATTTGGATTTCCACTGAAGTTGACACTGTTTTAACTGTTTAAACGAAGAAAGTTCAAGGTTCTGAGTATTCCTTTTCTTTCAACTATCAATTTACAAATAATTAAATGAAGAAATTGTCAGAAATGTTAAGAGTAATTTATAAAGTGCAAATAATTTATAATAATTGTAAGATACAAATGATAATGATACAATATAATGAAGTGAAATATCTAAACATGACATAATTAACATGAATTTGACAAACACGAGATCGACAGTCACAGGCTAAGCGAAGGAAATTATCTGTGAATGAGACTTTGACATTGACAGTTGCTTGTTTTGTGTTTAAATGTTTTGATTTATTTAAGTTCCTTATATTTTTACAAAAAATTGTTTCTTTCCATTTCAGTTCGGACTTATTATAAATAAACTGCTGAAATTATTTATTGTTTAACATCAATAAATTTGTTAGCGTAACTGTGTCATGTTAATAGTTAAATTAATGTTTTTATGATTCATACTTAACTGAGCTATGTGTATTAGTGATAAGCTTATCGGTTAAGCGGCACCGGTCTGGAGTTACACGTCCTGAAAGGATATTAATCGTGATATAAAATTAGTAATTTTTTTAAAATGTCCGGAGAGGGTTCTAGTGCAAATGGTAATCAGAAAGTGGCTCTTATCACGGGCATAACTGGACAGGTATTACTTAAAATTTGAGTTTTATTACGACAGATTTATAGGTGCAGATATAATAACATTAAAATTGTAAAATTCTAAAATTTAATAAATTTAATGGTAAATAAATTGCCAGCGTTATTTCTACACTAGCTGGTACTCGACGTCATCAGCTATATTATCTCAACAGAAAGCTTATTATGTTTGTGAAATTTATATAAAGCATCATTAAAATTCCCTGGACTGTTTAGTCCTGAAAAGGTATACAATATGAATAGCACTGAAACATAAATTAGGTAGTTATTATTTTAGCATATCACATAACTAAGTACTTAGTATAAACATATTACAAAACTTTATTAGTATATATTTTTCACAGGATGGTTCCTATTTAGCAGAATTCTTAATAGAGAAAGGGTATGAAGTGCATGGCATTTTAAGACGTTCATCTTCCTTTAACACTGGAAGGATACAGCATTTGTATGGACAGCCAACATGTCACACTGGAGGAAGGATGCATTTACATTATGGTGACCTCACTGACACTACTTGCCTGATCAGTATTATTACAAAGGTGAATGCTTTTTGTGTTTTCATCTTATCTGCCATTTTTAACAAAACTATTTACGGTTGGTAGATGTCTTCATTTCTAACTATGAAGCCTGAGGGCCTTCAAAATAAATATTTGTGTACTGAATGCACTGTAGATTTGCACTGACATTTACCAACCCACCAAAATAAATATTAATAAATATATTAATTTATAGGAATATGGTAACTATGGTACAATAGCTACAGTTAGTCACCTATAAGATACAAGTATTTATTTAGTGTGTTTATTTAATATACCTGACCTATATGCTATGCTGCGGCTATGAAGTGATTGTAACAAAAGACAAAATAATATATTTTCTATTCAAAGTATACTACTACTAATTTCTTGTACCTCAGTAGCAGCCTATATTTCTAAACAAAATTTTTATGAACTATAAATACCTAATTAATAATAAAAATTAAATAAAAATAAGGTAATTTGACTAATATACCTACTCCATAAATGTTTCTTAAAACTTACTTTTACACATCAAAGAAATTGTTGGCCCAAATTACTAAATAAAAAATCAAATATTAACATTTACCCTATAGGAACAAAATGTTCTAAATTAGTCTAAATGAAGATTTTCATTTTGTTCAGACTCGCCCGAAGGAAATATACAACCTAGGAGCACAATCACATGTCAAAGTATCATTTGAACTTAGTGAATATACAGCCCAAGTAGATGCATTAGGTACACTCAGGTTACTTGAGGCTATACGAGCTGCAGGATTAGAAAAAGAAACAAAGATATATCAGGCATCAACTTCAGAATTATATGGCAAAGTTGTAGAAGTTCCACAGACTGAAAAAACACCATTTTATCCCAGATCTCCATATGGTGAGTTTATATGAAATTGATTTTTTATAAGAAAATGTGATCTTGTAAAAGAAAATTTATTTAGTCCCATGAGCTCGGGCTACATATTCGTATTTTGTATGTATTAATAATATATTAATCCGTTTAGGCAAAGCATGAGTTGAAAACCTATAAATTTATTTATTCCTTAAATAAATTAAAATGTTGCCTTATATAATGATTTGTGGTTAGGTATATTTCCTGTCAACAGTATTCTTGTTGCAGGAATATGTAAACAGTAGGTACACCACAACAAGCATACTGCTAAATATGCATACATTTTTAAACAAAATTGTTCAGAATCATTGTTTTAAAATTCCAACTAAATTGTCTTTGATATGAACACAATAATGATAAACATTGTATACAACCTATATTACTACCAAGATTAGTACAAGATAATAATATGAATCATCCCCTTCATAAAACTACGACATTTTGTCAACTATTTTAACTATTAAACTGCTTTATCCTTTTGCTTGATCTACATAATTTAAAAAATCTTTTTTTTTATTATAGTTTTAATGGAATCTGTTATTAACTTGTAGCATGCGCGAAGTTATACGGCTATTGGATAGTTGTCAACTATCGCGAAGCATACGGTATGTTTGCATGTAACGGGCTCTTATTTAACCACGAGAGTCCGCGGCGAGGAGAGAACTTCGTCACCAGAAAAATAACCAGGGGAGTAGCCAAAATAACACTTGGATTAATGCCGTACCTGGAACTGGGTAATTTAGACAGCAAGAGAGATTGGGGACATGCTAAGGATTATGTGGAGGTAGTTATGTTAAAATAATCTTGATATCTATATTTATAAAAGCGGAATTTACTTTACAGAGGTTGACGTAAAATCACAACTGTAGTATTATATTTTACTATCCTATTGAATTATTTGATTTATCCCTTTCTCTACTCTCTGCCAATTGCCATATACTTATCACTTATTTTTAAAATCGGTAATTGTATCTACTACTAAAATGTATGTGTAACTATTTAAAAGTGCTTAAATTTAAGGTAAAAGCACTAATGCCCGACACTGAACTAAAAGATGACACTTTCGAAAAAAATCTTTTCTATTAAGAAAACTAATCATTTAAGTAACACCACTACTGGTATTAAAGATACCTAGGGTAATTTATGATACGTGGTCAAAAGCTTGCATACATTGTCAAGCACATTTCAAAACGGCGTCAATTTACAACAAACAATATGAGCAGGTTGATAATAAGTGCGTAATTCTTAGCGTTTTTCTTAAGGCGACTGACTTTTAATACGTATGATTTTGTCTTATATATATGTGATTATTGGCTATTGTTGGTTTCGATATTATAAATGTATGAAATTATTGATCTATTAGAACTATTTCTGTTGCGGACCACGAGTCGGCATCGAAAATATGTAAATAAATTTTGTGTATAAATTTGTAGTTTTTTGTATTGTTACTATTGTATTTAATTTTAAATGTGTGCGTATTCGCTGTTCCGGCCCGTCGGTCACCGACATGTGCAGGAATTGTCGGGAGGGTGGGACGGCCGACGCGCACAGCTCGGCGGGGGTGGGGAAGGACGCGCTCGGGCGCCCGTAAAAGGCGGGTTGGTTCTCGATCGCGCTCTCTTACGCATACGCCACCGACGAAGAACCACCGCCGGCGCAACGACCAAGAAAACCCCACTCCGGCCGGCCGACCCATAGAATAAGAAACAAATTGAAATACAGTCCACATATTTTGAAAATCGAAGATCTTTTAATTGTGTACCCCACAATTTTGTGGTCCATCGCAGCCGCATATCAAGACCGAAGATCACCCAACGGTGCGACGAATCGCCGTGGAAGATCACCCAACGGTGCGACGAATCGCCGCGGAAGATCACCCAACGGTGCGACGTACCTCGCCGAGGAAGATCACCCAACGGTGCGACGTACCTCGCCGAGGAAGATCACCCAACGGTGCGACGCTAGCAGCTTACCGAATTTAGCTGCCGTCGTAAGGTGAAAACTTGAGGGTGCAGCGAGGATAGGATAAATAACGTCTACGCCATATAGGATAGATAACGTCTAAGCGGTGTGTCCGCGGCTCACATCTCTTACCACCTAACGGTGTCAAACGGTCGGAGTGTGGGTTAACGCCATTGAGCGGTGCAGTGGGTGGTGTGTCACTGCCGGTTGTTGCTTGTTACCGTGGCGCAACCGAATAGCACTATTACGCCTGTACGTGTGTATCGTATAGCGGGGGCCGGACTGTAGGCACTGCCAAAGGGGTCGGAAAGTCCGAACCGGCCCTGAGCGCCCCGTCTGTACATACGCACCACTGCGGGGTAATTCCTACCCTCCTATCCCCATAGTCCATCCCCTCGGGTGTTATCCTGAGGGATTGTTAGGGACGGTTAGGTAGGTAGGGACCGGTAGGTTAGGGGCTTGCAAGTGCCAGAACACGATGCCGACTACGAGAAGCCAAGCCCCGGGAGCAGAGAAAAAGACCACGCGGGAAAATGAACAGACAGAAGCGTCCCCTTCAGAAACCACGCAGATGTCCGCGTCCGCCGCGCCGTCGAGCGCGCCACAGGCACAAGCCGCCCGCGCCGCGTTTACCTCGGACTCCGCACCGGCGCCACCGTCGCAGCCGCCGACGACAGATGTACGTCCGGCCCGGGCCGCGTCGGTGCGATCGCGCCGCTCTACCGCTAGCGGTATAGCTAAATTAAAGAGGCTGGAGTACGAGGCAGCGCTACAGATGGCGAAATTACAGGCTGATTTAATTAGAAAGAAGTTGGCAGCCGATGTCGCCGCGGTACATGAAGAGACCGATAGAGATAGCGTGTGCTCCGAGGAAGGTGCCGGCCTGCAACGTATAACGGATTGGTTTCAACGTACCGAAGTACGGGGGGAGCAGAGAATTAATTCCCCACCGCCTACGCAGAAAGAGCCAACAGAAAGGCAAGCTTCACCGCCGAGGACGCCGAAGCAAAGACGGAGGTCCCCCGCTCCTGAAGCCGGGATGCAAGAAGGATTCACCCGGTTGGCCAAAGCTATTGAACGAGCTGTGGACGAACGAGCGGATAGGGTAGCGCCGAGGCAAGCCCAAGATCTCCCGATCTTCAGCGGCGAAGCAAGTGAATGGCTAGCGTTTAAGGCGGCCGTAGACCAGTCTACAAAGACGTACAGGATCACACCAGCGGAGAACCTGGCCAGGCTGAGGGCCTGCTTACGTGGAAAAGCGAGAGAGACAGTCGCAGCGTTACTCGTATCCGCTACAGAACCGTCGCAGATCATGAGGACGTTGGAGCAGCGGTACGGCCGGACAGAGGCCATCATCGACCGCGCCCTCAAAGATCTGAGAAGGATGCCGGTAATAGGAACATCGACAACAGAGGTGATTGACTTCGCCATTAAACTACAGAACATCACCACCATCGTCGCGGATATCGACAGGGGGGCGAGATTCCTACATAATCCCGCGCTTGAGAGTGAAGTGTCAGAGAAGCTGACCCCTCACTTACAGGTCCACTGGTGTCACTACGCTGAAAAAAACATCCTCCTGGACACTAGACCTACGATCATCAAGATGGCAGAGTTTTTAATGAGCGAAGCCGATCTCATGACCCGACATCTACGAATAGCATCACCAACGAGACGAACGAGCGCGCTACCCACGAAGCAGCCCCCGAAGCAACCCACTAGGCAACCCATACCGAAAGCAACGATGTCGGCACCTCGGCGACAGATGACGGATCGTGGCGCGGCCGTATACGCCGCCGTAGAAAAGAGCGAACAGAGTACCGAATGTCTCTGTTGCGGCGCCGCACACGTAACGCCGAAGTGTAAGAAGCTGAACGACATGTCGTTATCGGACAGATGGGAGTGGGCGAAAACAAATAAGATGTGCTTCCAATGCATGAACAGCACGCACAGAAGGTTCAAGTGTAAGGCACGCAAATGTGGTGTGAGAGAGTGTCGTAAGCCACACCACGCCCTGCTGCACCCCCAGAAGAGCCGCCGAAGCGGCAAGAGGACACCGCGATTACAGCCGCAGCACGCTTGCCAGAGAACAGCCAAGTGTTGTTAAAGGTGTGTCCCATCATCGTGAAAGGCAAGACGGGACGCGAAGTAGAGACGTACGCGATGCTAGATGAAGGCTCGACGGTTACACTCATCGATGCGGAGATCGCAGAACAGATCGGAGCCGAAGGTCCGACGCGATCTCTGAGAATTCAGGGAGCAGCCTCGAGCTGGCACGAAGCCTCAAGCCGAGTGGCTGATGTCATCATCAGAGGGCGACACCATACGGACGAAGAACACTCGGTGAGGGCGCGTACGATCCGGGATCTCACCCTAGGAACGCAGCGAGTGAACCCGGAAATACTCGCGTACGGACACCTGCGACAACTCACTTGCGACCAAGTGTGCTACGAAGATGCCAGACCCAAGGTCTTGATCGGGTCAGACAACTGGCATCTGATTGTTACGCGGAAGCTGCTCACAGGAAGGCACAATCAACCCGCAGCGTCGCTGACACGACTGGGATGGGTCATCCACGGAACGGTACCCAGAAGTGTCGTGGAAGACGAGGAACATGTCCTCCACGTGCGGTTGACACAGCGCAACGCCGAGCCAGACATGCGGCATATAGAGGGCATAATAAAAGCGCATTACGACATCGACGCGTTGGGTATATCGTCGAAGAGATTACCCATTGCTAAGGAGGAGCGCGCCGTCGCCACATTCAACCGCACAGCGACGAGAGTGGATGGGCGATACGTCGTAGGATTGCCGTGGGAGAGAGATAACGTCGCTCTACCTCCCAGCTACGACATGGCAGCGAGCCGACTGAGGGGAATAGAGCGGCGGATGGATCGCTCTACGGAATTCCGGCTGGCGTATACCGCGGAGATAAACAAGTTGTTGGACAAGGGTTACGCCGAGGAAGTAACCGACGACCGGTTCAACAACGACCGCGCGTGGTACCTTCCCCATTTCGGAGTGACGAATCCGAATAAACCCGGAAAGCTGCGACTCGTATTCGACGCCGCGGCCCGTTCGAAGGGAATGTGCTTGAACGACGCACTGCTGGATGGGCCAGATATGCTACGGTCGCTTAACGGTGTGTTATACCGTTTCCGCGAGAAGCCCGTAGCTATCACGGCGGACATACGAGAGATGTTCCTGCAGATTAAGATACGGGAAGAAGATAGAGCAGCACAACAGTTTCTGTGGCGAGGAGATGACAGGATTAACCCGCCGCAGAAATACGTAATGACCTCAATGATTTTCGGGGCGAGGAGCTCACCGTTCATCGCACACAGCGTTCGAGACAGGAACGCGGCAGAGCACCGAGAGTCGCACCCGTCAGCGTACACCGCCATAACAAGGAACCACTACATGGACGACTGGGTCGATAGCTTTGACTCCGAAGAGGAAGCAGCCCGCGCCATACGAGAGGTAGTAGAGGTTCATGGCGGGATAGGATTCACGCTGGCGGGTTGGAATACAAACCGACCGAGCCTGCTAGAGAATGTGAGTGAGGACCAGCGAGCGAGGACGCCGAAGGAACTGGGAGCCAACGCACATCCATACGGAAAGACATTGGGGTTATTGTGGATGTCAGCCGAAGACCAGCTGGCGTTCAACACCGGCATGCCACGCGTCCCACGAGAAGTGAAGCACGGCACGCGGATACCGACGAAAAGGGAAGCCCTAGGAGCGGTGATGTCATTGTTCGACCCGCTCGGGCTGCTGAGCCCTTACACCATCACGGCAAAAATCATCTTGCAGGCGCTGTGGGTGCAGAAGGTCGAATGGGATGACCCTCTGCCCGCCGAGGAAGCGCGGATGTTCCAGGAATGGAGAGATGACTTAGCCTATATAGAGGAACTGAGATTGCCGCGATGGTATGGCACGAACGACAGCCAACGGTCGCAACTGCACGTATTCACGGACGCAAGCGAACAGGCATATGCCACAGCCGCGTATTGGAGGACGGAACGCGAGGATCGTAGCGTTAACGTCGTCCTGGTAGCAGCCAAAGCGAGGGTAGCGCCCATGAAAGCGCAGAGTATACCCCGGATGGAGCTTCAGGCGAGCCTGATAGGAGCCCGACTGGCCGCTGACATATTGAAAGAACATAGTCGCGAGGCCGAAGTCTTCCTATGGACGGACTCGAAAACGGTGCTACACTGGATAAGGAACGACACCGTCAGATATACTCCATACGTGGCTCATCGTTTGGCAGAAATCGCCGAACTGACGAAACCGACACAGTGGCGCTGGGTACCGACTGCCCACAACGTAGCCGACGACGCGACCCGCGCGGGATACACACAAATGACCGCTGCCGACAGATGGTTTGTCGGGCCGGCATTTCTGTACGCTCCGGAGCAAGAATGGCCTCATGAGAGCGAGCCCGTCCCAGCAGAGATGGTAGCACACGTCCGGGAGGAGACAGAACCCGTGATCGACATTGCACGGTTCTCTTCATATGACCGAGTGAGGAGGACCATGGCGCAAGTGCTACTGTTCGCAGATAAATGCAGGCGACGGGCACAGAAGCTAGGCACAGAGCATTTCGCCAAAGCGGAGCAACTAATAATACGGCAGGCGCAACAGGACAGTTTCCCGAAGGAAACGCGGTGTCTACGCGAAGGAAAGACCGTAGACAGGACAAGTCGTCTGTTCCGCCTGGATCCCGTTTACAAGGATGGCATAATACGCTTGAACGGACGTATAAACGCAGCACAGGTGCCGCTAGAAATGAAGAATCCACCCATACTGGACGGAGCGCACCCGTTGGCGCAGATGATGATTAAGAGAGAACACGAGCTACATCATCATGCCGGCAGAGAACAGACGGTGAACACCCTGCGCCAATACGTGTGGATGCTGCGTTTAAGGCCGACCGTCAAGACCGTATTACGCAAATGCACAACATGCGCCGTACGCCGGAGGAACCCCGACGTCCCAGTGAAAGGGAACTTGCCAAAGGAGCGACTCGACGCATACGCCCGGCCGTTTACAAGATGCGGTATGGATTGTTTCGGGCCTATGTGGGCGACGATAGGTCGCAGGCGAGAGAAGCGATGGGGGCTCCTATTCACGTGTATGGTCACCCGGGCCGTGCATATAGAACTCATAGCGGGGTTATCGACCGACTCTGCTATAATGGCGATACGACGCATGGCAGCGCGTCGCGGCTGGCCACGAACCTTTATGTCGGACAACGGAACGAACTTTCGCGGAGCCGACGTGGAGCTTACGACTGCGTTTAAGGAATGGCTCCCTGAACTGGAAAAGTACGTCAGCAACAAGAGGATAAACTGGCGGTACAGCGACCCGGGCGCACCGAACCAAGGAGGAGCGTGGGAGCGACTGATAAGGAGCGTGAAGAGAGCGCTAGCAGTGGTACTGCACGAGCGGGCGCCGAGAGAAGAGGTGCTCGCAACGCTAATGACGGAAGCAGAACACACCGTCAATTCACGCCCCTTAACCCACGTCTCAGTGCGACCCGAGGACGAAGAGGCGCTGACCCCCAACCATTTTCTGATGGGCTCAGCCGTCGGCCTACCGTACGTAGGTACCACCGACGTTGCCGACCGCAGAACGTGGCGCGCAGCACAGGCGCTCGCGGATAGATTCTGGCAGCGGTGGTTACGAGAATACCTACCGACGCTGACGCCCAGAGACGACGTACGACGGAGCACGGCAAACATCAAGCCGGGCGACATGGTTTTAATAGTGGACGGCCTGCTACCTCGCAATCTGTGGCCGCGCGGGCAAGTGGAGCGCACCTATGAGGGGCCCGACGGCGTGGTGCGAAGTGCGGACGTGAGGACGCGAGGGGAATTTTTCGAAGGCCGACCCGAAGGCTAGTGGTCCTCCCTAGGGATAAGGGCTGCGAAGATCTGCGCCGGGGGGAGGCTGTTGCGGACCACGAGTCGGCATCGAAAATATGTAAATAAATTTTGTGTATAAATTTGTATTTTTCCAGTGTTTTGACTATTGTTTAGGTTAGACTATTGTTTGTACCATATACCCTTTGTAGCGGCATAGATACTGTGAATTCTATGCCCGCCCATTGTGTAAATTCTTAGGGATCACAGCTTTAGTGTAGCCTGAACATGTGGCATTTAGTCGCACGTGGTTTTTTGTAGTTTTTTGTATTGTTACTATTGTATTTAATTTTAAATGTGTGCGTATTCGCTGTTCCGGCCCGTCGGTCACCGACATGTGCAGGAATTGTCGGGAGGGTGGGACGGCCGACGCGCACAGCTCGGCGGGGGTGGGGAAGGACGCGCTCGGGCGCCCGTAAAAGGCGGGTTGGTTCTCGATCGCGCTCTCTTACGCATACGCCACCGACGAAGAACCACCGCCGGCGCAACGACCAAGAAAACCCCACTCCGGCCGGCCGACCCATAGAATAAGAAACAAATTGAAATACAGTCCACATATTTTGAAAATCGAAGATCTTTTAATTGTGTACCCCACAATTTCCTTATTGTTTTGGCTTGTTTTTTTTATGAATTTGAAGTGGTGTTTACTATTAGTACCACAAATCAAACAAAACCTAAAAGATGACATGTGTGTCTTCAATTAGGGTTACATCGAACTGATTTTGTTAGCTTATTTTAATGCAAATTTAGCCTTTACGTTTTAAAACTAATGTTTATATCTGAGTTTCGTTTATTTTACACTATTCTAACTATAAGTAGACAGTGTCAACTATTAGGGTATACTAGGTGTCAACTATTAGGTATCCATTAATTTCAAATTAAAGTTCGAGTACGATGCCTCCAGTAAAGGGTCTGATGTTTCGATACTCCGAAGATAATATGGAAGCAGCTATATAAGAATGCAGGCGGGACGTTCCGACAGCGGAGAAGAAATTCGGAGTCCCCGAGTAACTTTGATAAACAAAGTCAAGGGAAAGACCTATTAGACGTAAAATGGGAAGAAGGTGTTACGTGACCGAAGCGGTGAAAAAATACTCGTAACATGGGCATAAGCTATGGTCGAACAAGGGTTCCCAATACGAAAAGATAACTTACAAGATAGTGCTAAGAAAATAGTTCAAGACCTTAAGATAGTAAAATAGAATCCAAGAACGGTAGACCAGGGAAGAGATGGTACAACAGCTATTTAAACAGCCTCCAGAGCATCTGTAATGATATCTCAAATAAAAAATTGGTTTCAAGAAATTGGCACTTACCTAAACAGTAATATTCATACAGATATTCTTAATGCACCTCAGCGAGTTTATAACATGGACGAGACTACTTTCTTCGTGAACCCCAAAGGAATAAGGTCCTAGTATCAATAGTTTAGATTTGAATAGTTTAAAGTACTTAATATCATCATCATCATCATCCCAGCCTGGAAGACATCCACTCTGGGCAAAGGCCTCCCCAAAAATGCCAAAATCTAATTACTTTTGATAAGCAATATGGCTAAATATTGATTTTCTGACAATTATATTTTTATGTTATTTGATTTGATTATATTTTGTTGCTAATTTAATAATTTTAAAGAGCAGGCTGTGCTCGGTATTCATTTTAAAGTATTTTTATTTATTTGTTTTGATGAAACACATAATATTAGAGTGATCTTATATATGTCTACTATTAGTTCCAATTGATGTCTATTTTTGGTGGATTTGATTTTTGATGCTGTCATCTTTTAGTGTCTACGACAAACCTAAGAAGAATATTATTCTTAGTTAAAAATATGTTAGTTTTAAAACATCTTACATGAAAAAGTTAATTTGTAAAAGTTGCTCTAACAGTAAAAAAAATTGTAACTGTAGTTTTTTGATAAATACATTTGCATTTTTGAGCATGAAGTTTGGTTTGTCCTTAATGTGTCTAGCATTAGTGCTTTTACCTTAAGTATATTTGAAGAATTTAAGAATTTTCTGCTATATATTGTTTTTTATGTAATTGGAATACAAAATAATCTGACGGCCCACCTAATGGTAAGTGGTAACTGCCCCTTATAGATATAAATGAACACTACAGTATTACGAACATCACTTTATCATGTGACACCCCCATGATATCAGTTATTACCATTCCAAAGAACCAAGATGTTATATGTTTTATTCTAATGTTATATATTGATTAAAAACTATATTAATATGTAATTTCTTTGAAACTTAACAGATCTTATTAGGCATAATGTAGTGGGATCATTTTTCGTTTTTATCTCTGTCGTCTGCATTTTGAAGTCAAATATTCAAGATGCAGATACGATTCGATAACAGTATCGGTGGTCTAGCAGTTAAGCACAGTGCCTTGCTTCTTCTAAAATCTTACAAGATACAAACATTTATAATCATAAGAATAATTGTATACTGTGTAGACTGGATGGTGTCCCACATATACATGAAGTATTCATGTACATGTGCAAATGAGAAGGAAGCATTATGTCGTCTTTAGCGCATACTTCTGACGTCATGTGACCATTACTCAGTAACCGGCGAGTGAGAACTGTGGCGTGTCTAAGAGCCGATAATTAGGAAGACAAACATACATATGTACAATAATATACATATTTACAAAAATAGTATATTTTAATGTTTCTAGTATTTCTTGAGTACCCATAGTACAAACTCGTTCTTTCTTTCTCGTTTACTTTGGTACTATATGGCGCTGTTCCTTGTTATTATTCATTTCATTCATTCATTCAACATATTTGAAAATATCATATGCTTTATATTGTACTTCAGGCAATGTGGCTGATGATGCAACAAGAGACGCCCGAAGACTTCGTAGTGGCTACAGGCGAGGCACACAGCGTGCGGGAATTTGTAGAAAAGGCGTTCGCGTGTGTTGGACGTTCGCTCATCTGGCGCGGATCCGGCGTAAACGAGACCGGACACGACGCTGATACTGACCAGCTGTTGGTCAAGGTCAATCCCAAATACTTCCGGCCCACAGAAGTCGTAAGTGCTCCTTTTATATATTCGTCATGGAATATACTGATGACTGACTTTAATAATAGAATGACGGCCACGGTGGTCTAGCGGTTTAGCCGCTCTACTTCCGATGGTCGCAGATTCGATTGCTCTCACGGTACCAACATTTGTATTCATGAGCATGATTGTTTGTATCGGTCTGGGTGTTTTCTATGTATATTATGCATTTAAATTCAAGAAACTTAAAGACTGTACAAGTAGAAACTTACGCAATAAAAATAAGCTAATTTTACCTAAATGCCGTCTACACAAAGTTAGTAATTCATTTTATGGTAATTGCGTAAGATTCTATAATAAACTGCCAGAGTCTACGCTAAATCTTACAGAGAGGCAATTCAAATCTTATATTAAACAAATGTTATGTAAAAAAGCCTATTATAAGATAGATGAATTTATAGATGATAGCAATATATAGCAAGAATAAGTTTATTTGCGGACAACGTTATAATTTTAATTTTCATACTGCTTTCTTGATATATGATAGCGTAGCGGCTTTTGTATTGATTGCCGCATGCATCCTTATGTAAAGTGCGAATACTGTAACTACCATATAGTAATTTTTATAGCTGTGACGTGGTCGTGTGGAATGAGTAGTCATGCTCACTAAAATGTCCAGACATGTGGCGGCGTGGTGGGCCGGGTCAATGGGCTCCCTAAAATATGGTCGAGCGCAGTGATGGCTGGCTCATCCGTCATACTCGTGAACGAGTGCTGCTTGTAGGGACTGGTCTGCTCTTATCACTACGACTGATTTAATCTTATTGCATATTTATGTTTGACCCAAAAATTAGTGCTTGTTGGTAGTTTGTATTCACACGTTTCGACTTGTAAATGTAAACTTACAAGGATTATTTAAAAGAGCAACACACAAGTTTCTTGCTCGTTCTTCTTGTGATGAGACAGCTTTCCGAACGAGTGGTAGATAAAAAACAAATTGTTATGACTATTCAAAAGTGCTTAAATTAAGTTTATTTGAATAAATGATTTTCTATTCTATTCTATTCTATTCTATTTACAATTCTATTCTATTCTATTATGCTCCGCTTAGCTTGGGACTAGATGGCGCTGTGTGTGAATTGTCCAGGGGTATGTTATATATTACAATAAACTGCTAACTGCTTTGTTACAAAATACATTATGACTACTAATTTAAACTTTTGGTATTCTAGACTAAGATGTCAAATTCAATGTCTCCACAGTAGAGAGAAATAGGTGAGACAGAAATAGCCTACCAGACGTAATTAAACTCTAAAACTCCTTCTAGTAAAAAGTAGTGGTGTTAATAATAATAATAGCACCCTGAATATAATATCCCTATAAGTATCCGATTAATAATTGTAAAAAAAATTCTTATCTCCAGGATTTACTGTTAGGTGATTCAACGAAAGCTAAACAACAATTAGGATGGACTCCTCGTGTTACCTTCAATGAATTGGTACGAGACATGGTGGAGGCTGATCTTGAATTGATGAAGAGAAATCCTGAGGCGTAATTGAATAGGTTAGTAGTAACTGAGATATACTTGTTCGAAATTAACTTTAGAATGTGCATTGGAATCGATTTTTAGATAAAATTAAATTTGTTTCTTATGTTACACATTACATTAGTATACTACATTACATTAGTATAGCCAACAAGGGTTTTACGTCATAATGCAAAACATATATCAATAATTGATTTTCAATTAACATTCAATATGGTGGTAGTGTGGTGGGGCTTTTTTATATTTTATTTGTTTCTCTTCTGTTATATTTAATTTTTCATTGTATATGTAAGTGGGGTGGGATTAATTTACTAATCAACCCCACTTTTAATTTTCAATTATTGTCATGGTAGCGTGGAGGCTAAATCTTGACACTTGTACTATATGGTATTTTTACATAGCAACGCCTGACAGGCAGGGAAAATTTAATGCCAAGTATATGCTCTAAACTGCTCTATTAACTTGCAAGAATGTTTGATTATCGATCAATTTACTTTTTTATCAACGTGTACAATATTTTATCATTTTTGATTATACAAATCAAAGATGATAAAATATTAGATGAAAGATATAATTAATATTTACAGGATTTGGGCCACATAAGTATGCAGTACATCGATGTGGCGTACTCGCTTGTTACAATAGATATAACAACTGTTGCACGATAAAGATCTTATCGTAAACATATACCATTTGAAGGCTATTTTATATATAAAACTATTACTATCCATTTTTATTGAATGTTAAAGCATTGATAATAACTGTGTTACTGACAGAACACTAATAAAGCATGAAATGGCCTAAGATGAAGCCATTTACTTGTCGTTATAAATTCATCAAGCATTGTCATGATGGATTCTAGAAGGAACGTCAATAAAATGACAGGGTATACAACTAGCAATGAAATAGAAATCTCGCACATGCTGCACAAATCAGGTATAAGAATTATGCTCTGGTCATTTGCCGACATGTGTGGTCAACAGTAGAAAATATAAGTTGTTAGTTAGGAAGTAACTTTGGAGATTTTTTTTTATAACACAGAGGATAAACGAGCTTGCGGCTCACCTGATGGTAAGTGATTATCGCCGCCTCATGGGCACCCGCAACAACAGGGGAATTGCAAGTATGTTGTCGGCCTTTTAAAAAGGAATAACCTCTCTTCTTGGTGGTTTCAATATCGTATCGGAAATACCATTGCTGGAAGGTGATTCCACAATGTGGTTGTGCGAGGCAAAAAGTTTCTAGAAAACCGCACTGTAGAAGACCGCCATTCATCCAGATGATCAGGATGGTATTTCAGTTTCTGGCGGGTGGTACGGTGCTGAAACTCAGCAGCTGGTATTAATCCGAACAATTCCTCAGAACACTCCCCGTGATATATGCGGTAGAAAATGCACAGAGATGCAATATCACGCCGCAAAGCCAATGGGTCGAGTCTGTCACATAGACGTTGATTACCAATGATTCTGGCTGCTCGGTTCTGAATGCGGTCATCATGTAACTTCTTTATGGTTATTTGAATTCAACCACAAAGTCGGCGTCACAAAGTCACTTATATTCTTTTGGTTACACTTAGTGCAAGTACATATAGTGGAATAAATATAAAACTATAAAGCACACATTAATATAAGTTAATATTATTATATATAAAGTTTTATTATACTACACTAAAAATAATCTAAATGTGAACATATAAGATGCAAATGAATATGTGCTTATTTCGAATTTTATGACTGAATATTTAATGTAGTGTTTTAAAAATAAGTACTTTAAGTATAGCCATAAATATATATACATTAGTTTTTAATATTAAGTTATTTTTTAATAAAAACATTGTAAATGTTTAGTTACTATAGTTAAAAACGTGCAATATAAATGCCTAATTACCTAACATTCCATGATGAGCAATATAGCAAAACTAGATAAATAATATTAATTTCTGAAGTAGTTAAACTATGAAAGTCGAACCTCTAGAGAATATTTCAATATTGTTATAACTAATTACGAGAATTTAAGGAACTTAGTATGTCACAGCTAGACGTTATGACAACTGCGCTGTACTCATCACTATTTTCAAATGAAATCAGAAGAATTTTCCCGAAAAAGTAAAACATAGTAAATTCATTATTTCCTTTAAATTATAAAAAAGTTAATTTTAAAAATAATGTTATACATTTACCCGTAAAACAGAGACAGAACAGTCCAAACTAGTATTGTCTCTCATGAATGCAACAAAGTAGAGCTATTAAGACGATTAAAATAAGAAACAATAGCGACAGATTTTATTAATTTAGTATCTGGACCTAAATACATAGAGCGCCTTGTGGTATAATACTGCATCGTTGCACCAATGTTTTTCCAATGTAAAGCCTGTATAAATATTATAAAGATGCTGTTTTCATCTGAACTTTGACACTGTTTTCATTGTCATTCGGTATCTTCCAGAAGGTTAATATATACATACCTATAATTCTACGACCCCATTACATGCACTATTTACGAGTTGGGTCGCTAGTAATCATATAAATTACACAAAATATCATACAATTTTTAACTTTACAATAAATAATTACAACTTCGTTGTTAAAAATTGGGTGGATAGGAGTATATATAATTGTGAATATTGTAATAAGTTATATACTAATGTAGAATTATATTGTTTAAATAAATGTAATTGGATTGTATATTGTTGTAAGCGTATTAATATATAGATAAATATATAATACTAGTTTCTAAGAGATCACTGTAAATATTTAGTTATGAAATTCAGAAAGAAAATATACACGACATGTACTATTTTATTTGTATTATTATATTTACTATTTAAACCTTCAACAGGAGCTGTGTACCTACATAAACAATATTTATCATAATGTTATTTAAGAGCTCTCGATATTTCGACGCTGTAACAAACATGCTAGAATTCAAAAGAAGTGTTATTATTACTAAATTTAAATTGATTCCTACAGAAAGGACATTAATGTATGTTTATTTCTCGTAATAACTGTGTTCTAGATAGCTTAAAATTAGCGATTAATATCCAATAGAAACGGTATTACAAATAAAATTAATCACTGCAGTTATTTCGATTTCGGTCGAAAAGGAAAGTTAGATGTACTTCTCTAGTACTGCATTATTACTTTTACGGTAATATAGAGTACACTATATTTAATCTGTCCGTTTAGTTTGTTTTCTAGCCCTTTGCTTATTGGTAATGTATGAGGTTATCCAACATTTATTTATGTAATTTGCGTGCCAAATATACCACCTGGTGTAAGCCGGATCATCATCAAATCTCTCTCGTGGTACCACTCATACTTGCCATTTCGAAGGAGCCTCTCCATATCCTCCATACCTTACTCACCCTTCAATCATAACACAGCTTACTAAGCATATAGCTGAACGGTTTTTTTTGGATAATGGAATGTTGCACCCACCTGTGCTAATGGTTTATGCTGTCGGGGCACCAGTGGAGGATAATAAGATAAGCATGAGATCAGGGCAGTTATCCCATCGCGACAAACTACCAAGAACATATCACGATTCTTCCTAGGGGAAACCAAGTGGAGATCAACTTGACAAAACTGTAATAGGTGACCGTGGTACTCCACGCAGAGGACTTTGTATAGTCTACCTCAGTATAATATGTTAGTTTAAAGAACAAGGAAAAGCCCAAAATTCAAATCAAAGTATATTACAGATAAGGCTATTAACAGATCACAGTAATTTCAGCATTAAAAAATAAACTATGGATATATCATAATATTATAAGTACATATTAAAATTGACAATAACAAATGATAAAAAAATTGTCGGGAGTTATTCGTTATGTCTAAATACTTGAAGAGGTTATATCCATTTCAAATAGATTAATTCAAAATTTTAATAGTGTCTCTGTGACATGTTGAACAAACCTTTTGTATTGGTTTCATATCCAAGACGAGAGCCAGTTAAAGTATTATTGAAACATTCTGTTTCCCATAACAGGATATTTGTATGTGGATATTTGAATATATAATTTTTCAAACCGTCATACCAATTGGTGGAGTAATCAATTTAGTATGAAAATTATACAATTCACTTTCTTATTACTTTGGAAAAGTGGTCTTAAGTAGCTCTCGACTTGATACATTTTAAGAATAACATTTATATTTATAAAATACGTTATGAATTACGCCCGAAACGCGCTATAAAGACTTAATCAAATAAAAATGTCAGAAATGGGCATAACAAACTATAAAAATTAAAACTAAACTATTATAGAACAAAATCCCAAGGCCCCAGACATTACTTATTGTATGAGTAACGAAATAGCTGGAATAGAGTAGTTTAATACACACTCCAAACCACTGATGAGATAATATTACTGGCTGCTTATAAAAAGTATTAAAATAGTTCTTCAAGAGTCATATATAAATATGAAGTAAAATTATGTCACATATAAAGATGAAGACTCAAAATGTATGTTTTTCTGTCAGCTTTAAAGCGTCTGGTAGTGTTAATTATTGATTATTACAACTTTCTATAAAACATATATACAAGACTCAGACTTTTAGAAATGTGAGTAAGGTTCTTATGTACCTACAGCACCTGGTACCTGAAAATTGGTTCTCTAGTGAGCAAGCATACGTTTGGAGTATATAATAAACTTACATTAAATTCTACCCGTTTCGGAAAATAAAATAGGTAATGTCTGGCGACTCTGGGATCTTGGTCTATTACATTAAATGTAAATAACTGTAGTACTTTCAGTTTCCACATAATCTTAGTACAGAATTTCAACTCATACTGCTACAAACTATAAGTTACAAAGAATTAAAAAATTAGGTCCGGCCTGGTCAACTATTATATATTCTAGCATTACACACATTATAGATGCAAAAATGAGAATGCAATGCATTCTAGATGTTCAAGACAATTGCTAACTAATCTTAAATACTAGTCTAAAATTAATATTTGTACTTTGTTTCGCTGGATATTAGGCACAGTTTTTACAACTATGTTTACACTTATATATGCAATTATGTACAAGCATTCCCAAAGAATCTGTATGGATAAATGTTAATGCCGTTTAGTTCATCATATATCGAGATATGCGACTTCAATTTTAGTTTGGTTATGGTATATTACTACCAGCATATTAATTCTAATGATCTTATGCGACTTGTAGCTATCGTCAATCGATCGAAAGCAACAAAGTAATCAATTTTATATTGAAAATTGCCACCATCAGCAAATGCAATGGTTGTGTCACTTCATTATAAAAATTACGTACTGTGAAGCGCTCTCTTTAAAAATTTGTTTGGTAAATCAAGTGTTAATTCTATACTATAGTAATGTTACCATTCGGAAGCACATTTTTTAACACAATTACATTATATCACCGCTGTTTCTTTATATATGATGAACTAAAGTGATTACTAGCGTTTACATCGTTTTGAAACGTTTACAATTTATTAAGGGCTAGTTAGAAGTTTTCTTTAACACCGGCGTATAGTTGAGAGAGTTACAAGGTTTTAAGTTGTGATTTTAAGTTCATAATGTAGCTCGATAATGTATTTCTTAAAGTTAAATTATTTGAAGCCGCATAATGCGTTACACGCAAGTTTGTGTATAAATATTTTTTATTTACAACTTTATATAGTGTAAATAATATACACAAGTAGTTATACACAAGTTTACATTTATCTGTTAAATTTTAAAATTGTCGATCAAATATTATTTCTAAAATTTTCAGCCAAGCTTGCTATTTGTCACATCCAGTTTTTGCCTGAGTACACCCCCTAGGATGAACTCTGTAGAGACGATAAATGCACCTCTTTGTCTCAACGATGGCCAGAGGCTTTTGTCTGCAGAACATGACACGCACATCCAATTCGAACCTCCTTCCTTCCAAGAGCCGCCTGAGCATTCGACAATCACTGTAACAGACAAACATTTGACATCGTCGAAGTAACGCCTGCATCTCACTAGTATAAAACACCTCAGTGGTCTAAAAATAATAACTCGAAAAAACAGCACATTTCAGAACTTACATTTCATCTCGGAGGCATTTGGCATCACATTGGGCGTAGATGATATGTTGTAGCCCTTCAAAAAGTTACGCTTGCTTCGTAGTGTCTTTTCTAGACTGAATTTAAATCTAGTTTCTGCTGCTTCATCTTTTATCAAGTGCAGCCACGGATCTAAAATTACGAAAATTCTAATTAAAAAATCATATAGTCATGTAGGACATTTAGACGCTTGTGAACGTCATTTTTTTATATTATAATTTTTTTCCAACTGTTCAGTTCAGTGTACAGATTTAATTGAGAAGAACTGGCAAGAAACTCAATTTAATTTATAATAATTATATATATAAAAAAAAAATACAATGCCATCTATAAAACAAAAGGCATAAACAATACCATTGGTGTTAGGTGCCAACACATAAGAAACGCCATGTAAGGATGGTATAGGTGTTTTTTATGGTAAATAATTGTCCACCTTATGATGAGGGGTAACCGTTGTCTATGCTCAGCGGTTCAGCTATGAACACCGGACATCACATTATCATGTGACACTCCATCATTGTCATTTTAAACGATTAAGTTGTCATGCTCTTTTTTTAGCATTCTCATCCAAACTGTCTTAACTTTATGAACATAATCAAGAAAACCATAAACCATAACACTCTCTCCTTAACCATGACATTAACAAAATACTATTCTCATTTTGTGGAACCCATGCTAATTGAAAGAAGATGCCATGCGACTTATCCTGTGATTCTACTGCCTAATCTTCCGCACCTTACCGAAACACAGTTTACTAAGTAAGTTTGTGGGCTAAGCTGCTGAAGTAAGGCAACTAGTAATGATAAATATAGAAACAAAACATACCGACAATCATTTTGGTGTCAGCACAAGCTTGAACCCAATCTGCGCCGACGATGGGCTTGCCGAGACCAACCGCACACAGCAATTTAAACGTCCGCCTGATGTTTAAAGTCAACAGAACACTACAAGCGGCCACCTCTGTTACTATTATTGCACCTGCCAAATTAATAACACAATAATTTTAATATATATCCACTAAGAAGCACTACGTAACTATGACAAAATATAAACAGTGTCAAATATTTGCCATTTTTAACTTGTGTAAACACACTTATTTTCAATCTAGCTGACCCGCGCAACTTCGTCTGCATGACAATTACTTGACGTTTATTATTATACTAGCTGTGTCCGCAATTTCACCCGCGTAAATTTACAGCCTATATGTAATTCTGACGTATAAGCTACATTACTGTAAAGTTTCATTAAAATCCGTTCAGTAGTTTTTCCCTGAAAGAGTAACAAACATCCATCCATAATAACAAACTTTCACGTTTATAATATTAATAAGATTTCGCCCGATTTACATAATATCGTTTTAAATTATAATCTTGCCTATATATAAGCTATATTACTGTAAAACTTCATCAAAATCCGTTCAGTAGTTTCTTGCGTGTAAGAGTAACAAATAACCATCCATCCATGCACACTCATAAACTTTCGCATTTATACAATAAGTTAGTACATTATACGTTACTTACCTAGATTTTCCAGTTTCATTTTCACTTCTTCACATGGGAAAGCTGTAAACAACACATATTGTGTCCTCAACATTCGTGCTGGTGTTGCCCTTAGTGATACATTGCCAGCGGATCTTGTTCGTTTAGGACTTGGCGCTCTAGGTGCCTCTGTTGCAAATCGTTTCAATCTGACAGGTACATCTGTATCAGATTCGGAAGATATACTATATACCTTGCTTTTTTCATGTTGAACAGGTTTATTCTTAGGTTGGGGTTTTGTTATTTTGACCTTAATAATAGAATCATTCTCTTTTTTTTCTTTATATGATCTCTGCCTCTTACTTCGTCTTACTTCTTTTTCATCTTTAGTCAATAACACTTTATCTGTGTTCTGATGTGCTCGTTTTTGACTAGTTTCATGCGTTTTGTTTTCTAATGGTTGTTTTAAATTATCATTTTCCATTTCCATCTTTTTTTCTTTAACCTTTACGTAGATTTTATTTTCAGGTTTTTCCTCCTTCTTTCTTGAACTGCGTGTGCTTCTTTTCCTCTTCTCAATGTTGGAATCAATTTGTAAATCATTTACTATTTTTTCTGCATTGCCTTTTATTTTTGAAACACTTGTGATGTTTATATTTTTTTGCAAGTCATCTTTATTTTTCTGATTACAATGTTTTTTGGACTCTTTTTTTTCACTATCTTTACGTTTTTTATTGCTATGCATATTATCTTTCACGTTGTAAACATTACCGGCATTACTTTTCAATTTCAAATTAATTTCGGATTGTTTTTTATTGTTTTTGATTTTTTCGTTATCTTTTTTAAGTCTTGATATATTTTCATTTATAATATCTTCACTTATATTATCATCCTGTTCTGTTAAAAACTTAGGTTTCAGTATATTTTTAAGCTCGGGGTCAGCATTTTGAATTTTTGAGGAAGGTTTCCTAATTCGTGACATAACTCTAGATGGTAAATCATCAATATTCAATTTATTTGACAGATTTTGTTTCACTTTTTGCTTTGAGTATGTTTTAGATCGCTCGTTTCTACGAAGTAAAATTGGAGTATGTTGTTCTTCTGAATCTATTTCTGTTTCAGAGTCACTTGATGATTCACTAAATGCATCTTTTCCCTTTAATGTAACACTGGTTTTTATTTCTTGGCTATCAGGTAAATCAATATCTAGAAATCTAAACGGTTTTTTCTTTGGTGTGACATCTACATCCGAAGAATCACTAGGCATTTTTGTCGGTTTTACAACCTCTACACCAATCACTTCTCTTATTTGTTGACTTGACAGATTTGATGGGGAAATGATAACATCATCATTTATTGTGAAAGACCTATTAAATGTTACATTTCCCTTTCTTGGAGATAAAGTATCTAGACCAGGTAATCTATCATGTGTTTCATATTCTTCAACAGAACATGGTACAATATCAATATCATTTGTAGTAGCTTTAGTATGTATATCATTGTTATTTAATGTTTTATCTGATTTCTGTTTAATAATTTCTGGAGAATGTTGTGCTTCAGTACATAAGTCATCCAATATTTCTTGTGTAGCTGCATAATAATTATTGTCATTGTTATCATTTATATTGATACCATTAGTTTCAATATTATCTGAAACAGGTTCCTTTAGTGGGCTTACTACAGAAATATCTTTTCTTTTTATTTTAATAGGGGATTGTAAGGGAATTTTAAATGGACTGATCTCATTTGAAATCTCTAATTTGACAACCTTATTTTGTGGAATATCATGATTCAATATCTGTGTAGGTAAATCTTCAAATTCAATTTCATCATTTTGCCTTCTGCTTATGTTTTGAACATTCAGAGGATTCTTTTTAACACATAAAGTATTAGATTCAATGTCTTCGACTAATTGTGTATTCATAGTTTCAATGTTCTGGTCATCATTTTCATCAATTATTTGAGTCAATAAATCTTCAAAGTTTACTTTAGAATTATGTTTTGTTTTACTTTCATTTAATTCATCTTCACAGTCAGTAATATCTTCATCTAGAGGTTGTTCAGGTAGCTGCTGTGTTGGTATTATTTCTATATCTTCACAATCTGTAGAACTATCTGACTTACGATGAATGTTAATTTTCTGAAGTGGTATTGACACTTCTGGATCATTTTCTTTAAAGTCTGACATTACAGTAACTTTTTTACTGTCCTTATTAGGAGATTCAGGTAATAAAGATTGAGATTCAAAATTATCTTGAAACATATCTTCATTCATTTCTTCAAATATAATTTCTTCTTCTGAAAGAGTTTTTGAAGAATCTTTGAATTCTTTGTCTAATACATCTCTATCTCTATATTTTGGTACTACTGCAATAGTTTCTTTTTCCGCTTTATTATACTGTGTATCGGCGTCATGTATATTACGACTGTTACAGTTCTCTGCTGTAGATATTTTTTTAGACTTTAGGTTTAACTTTATGGGAAATATTTGTTCATTGTCAGGAACACACTGTTGTGTTTCAGCATTAAAAATATTATCATTGGTATTTTTTGGAAATAAATTAAATTGCATTTCATGTTGATTACTGATTTTGCATACTTCTGGCAGATTATCTGCACCTACAGGCAATTGTGTAGACATACTGTGTATAGATGGTGAACAATTAGCAATTGGTATTTGTGTATTTGCTGTGTAAATAGAATCTGCATTTTCATTATGTTTAATATCTAGTGGTTGTGTTTCCATTTCATGTAAAGTCATATCTTTTGTCTGATTATTAGTAGACTTAAGCGATAAGGTAGAATCATTAAGACTTTGATGAGAATTATCGAAATGTGAACCAATTGAGGTAGATTTCTTTGATGATTTCCAATAAATATTATCAATTTGATTGGATCCTATAGGCTGTATAGATATTGTCGTTGCAGACTGTTTTATATAATTTGTATTGGAATTTCTAAATGGTCTATTTCCTTTTGGCTGAGATGGAGCAATGAATGAGTCGTCCTGAAAAAATATATATAGATAGATAAATAAATTACTTGCATCTTCAGCACATACATAATAGTGAAATAAATTAATCTAATCAAAATAAAGAACAAACTAAAATTATGTGAATGCCGATGAAGTGACACAAAATGGTTGATGGCTCAGCTTAAAGTTTCTCCCTAAAAATGGCAATGCACTAATTTCTGCCGTAACCAATTAAAACAGCGAAATTCCAAAATAAACATTATGTTTTCTAATAAGTTATATGTTTCTAATGTATATAAAAATACTTATCAATACATACCATGGATACAAAAATTTAATCAATTTATTTAAAAGTATTTCAATACTCAAACTAATATTAATATGACACATAATAATTAAAAAGAAGCCTGGTACATAAAAAATCATATTGTCATGAGATTATTCTTGTAAAAAATTATTAACATTTAAGAAAAAGATAAGATAAATATTTCATATAGATGGTATTCCAATATGATTTGAAAATTGTTCAAAAATACTTTTTAATTTTAATTTAGTATCCAATTAATTAAATAGGGTGTATTATTTTTCTAACTGACATAAGAGGATTACGATCCAGGAACAACAATTAAATATTATAAAATATTTACAAACTCACCTTATCACTAACATCTGGAGATTCGGGTATAGTTGTGATTGGTACATTATTGATTCTGGTTATGTGACGAGAAGTTATGGGTGTTTCAGGTATATCCAAAGCTTGAGTCATGGGTAAGTCAGTGTCCTCTTCTAATAGTCTGAATACTCCAAACACATCACCAAACTGTACCATGTCGCCATTCCTGAGTGCATGAGGAATGTATGGCTGTAGAATTTTCTGTAACAAAAATAAATATACTTATTGGAAATTATATTTGCTGTCTTAATCAATCAAAATGGTTCAGTGCAAAGCCTTACTGATGGCCGCAGTGTTGGATTCATTGCAGAGTGTAAACATTTTAAATCATGTTTATGATTGTATTGGACTGGGCGTTTTCTATAAATAATATGTATGTCTGTATTTACAAAAAATGTATCTATGTATTGATAACAGTTGTCTAGTACCCATAACATAAGCTCTGCTTAGACTGGGACTAAATAGTGCTGTATGAATGGTCTTAAGATATTATTATTATTATTAATAAAAATGTAAACATTACTAGTTTTAAGTATATATAAATTTTATAAAATTACTTTTTAAGTACTTTCTATACTAGTAATGTCTTACAATATTGGGAAGACTAGTATGCAAGATAATAGTTCCTTTATTTGTATAAAGGTACTAACAAAATATGGTAGATAGGAATTGCTGAAGAATGAAAATATTGTAATAGGTGTTTTTAATGGACATTAATGGTATGGTTCACCCGCCTGTGGTTTACACTGGTGTGGCACCAGTGGAGAATGATAAGATGGAGATTCAGTTCAGGTGTCAGTTAGCCTATTGTGATAAATTCACCAGCAATTTATCACATTTCCAGGGGTAACCATGGTCAACCTGACAGGGTACATTGCTAGCAAAGAGTCCACATTACTGACAATCCTCTTACCCTCAATAATAGGTGTTATAGTAGCATACTTTTAGACCTTTATAGTTATTCATTACATGTAAATATTACATACACTTACATCCATCAATTTAGTTTTGTTTGCAGAATCCAAATCCATTAACATGAATTCAGTTTTGTTTAGAACATTGATCACAGCATGTTGTCGTGATATGGACTGAAATTAAAAGATAAATCATTTTTACAACTATAATTATGAAAATCCATAAATATTGGTGTATAAGTTAACTCCTCTGCAAATGATGAAATGCATAATTACACAGTAGTTTAAATTTTATACCAAAATTTATTATACTTTAACAAAAATGGAATATGATTTTAGCTCTGATACTATGATATTAAAAGTCTGCTTCATATATTTTAAACATATGTAATTGTATATGATCTACAATTATTTGGAATATAATATTTCATAAACCGGTTTATGTATAACAAAATCGAGCAAACTGCTCAGAATTATGATTGTTATGACTTCCAATGTAACTTACATTCAGTTGCAAAACAATGTTACATGTCTGTGGGTCTCTGCCAATTTTGTTTGGCCCAAATTTCACAGGATATTTTGTTCCACATATTCCAACAAATCCAATCTGAAAAAGTTTTTCATTGATTACTAAATAAAAATTGAAACTCTTAAGATGGAAGTGAATTATTAGTAATATTGAGTAGGGCCATTAGTAATGGGGAGGGAGCTATCTGTGGTTTCCAGGGAGACTATGACAGGGTATAAATGGGTATCATACTATATGATGCTATACTATATACTACTATGATGGTTATCACAGTTAATTCTCTGCACTGAAATCTTAGATGATTTTCCCTCTACCCCACCAGCGTACACCATTAGCCTATACATATACAATTATATGATACATTCACCATTAGCGTAAGCAAGCACACCAGTTTCTAAATACATCGATCAAAGAAACTATATCATGCTATACTAAATTTGAATGAGTGTAATAACCATGAGTGATTTTGACATAAATGATTTACAGGTAAAAATCAATATCCCTCTTTTATTTACTTAGTGGGATTTTTTTATTTCACCTAGAAGTCATTTCGAAATTTATCTATTCAATAAAAAACATACACTTTCGTCATACATCGTAATGGAAGCTTTTTTAATGCGCAACCAATGCTACATGAATGGAGGGTAGAATTATTGTCTTGTTAATTATGTTCAAAATTAAATTAACTATTATAAACAAAATTAAAATGTTATATATAAATATAGTTTGAAGTATTATCATATAAAACTTATTTATAACTTTCGCTATATTTGACAAACGACTGTTTTTGGATAACCTAGGTAAACATTCAACTTGAAATCGTTTAAACAATACAAAATACATTTAAAAGCTGTTTCACAGTTAATAAGTTATTAATAAATATTTTTTTTAATAAAAAATATTAAATATTAAACAGAATATATTTAAAAAATATAAAAATATGTTTACGAACTTGTTCCGGGCTCGACTTTTCAGACCGAGACTCACACAATTCTTGAGTAAATTCCAACCTTTGAGTACACTCCATTATTAAAAAAATTACTTATAATCCATAACTTTTAAATAAAATTCTTCATCAATTGGTTTGATATCATTCGAATTTCCTTTAATGTTTGAAATAAACAAACAACTAAAACAGAAGAACGTAATTTTTTTGTACGGTTATTATTTTTCCCATCTCAGGGAAAGGCAAAAGTATTTAGCTTATACAGCCATTATCTTGAATGGACAAAAACGTGAATTAAAAAAAAATCTACATTGAGTTGCGGTGCCAGTGGGTCTGTAGGTCTACCACGAAGTGCAATTCCGAAATTTCGGATCGATATTTCGTGTGATTCGTACCATGAAAAACGTTCATTCCGAAATCGTGCCCGAAAACGGAGAATATCGTTTCGATCGTCCCAAATCGTACCACGAAGTATCCGTTCGTACGTTATTATGACGTTTTGACAGCACGTTTATCGTGATTTAAAGTGCGAAGTAGACGAAACCTAAATAGTTAACTTTTTACTTTCGTAAGTATGGATTTTACGTATATAAGTGCTGTAATATATAAAACAGTGATTAATTAATAATTCAGTTAATGTGTTACAGTGAATAATGTGATAAAAGTTAAACTAATTAGTGTTTTTAAATATTATTGTGTTCAATATAACCTACAACTTAGCATTACTTTATTTTGATTTAGTTTCATTATGCCAAGATTGGCTGGAATTTTAGAAGCCCTCAATGAAGAAGAAATTGAAAGACGCAGGTTTAAAAGAAAAATGCGTACTAGGTACCTCCAAAGATCCATTCCCGACTTCGAGTTTGTCAGTATGTGGTACGATTATTACCCCTGCCTAAAAATAGTTGAGCAATCGATCCAATAACCAAAGTAAGATCTTATGTACATTTTGTAGATGAAAAAATTTAGTATTTACCTATTATTTAGTATTCCCATATCTATTTTTTTTTCAGATTCTCACTGCATTAAATTTTTATGCCAGTGGTAGCTACCAGGGTGCAGTCGGACAAAATTTAGACACCACTATGGCTCAGCAGTCTGTCTCAAACTGCATCAGGGATGTAACAGATGCCCTAAATACACCCTATATACTAAGGAAATATATAAGATTTCCTCAGTCCAGGGAAGACAGGAACATATTGAAGAGAAAGTAAGTTTATGTATATTAAATATGATTAAGATTTAACTTTATAGAATTTTATGCTCTTTGTCGATTTATAATACATATACTATTAATTTAGTTCAGTCAACTATTTGTAGCTGTAAATTTATAAATGATATTGTTGTTAATTTCAGGAATCAGCATAAGTTAATTGATGTTTAAATAATCAGTAGTTTATATTTCTTTTTCAGTTTTGCTACACAGTATGGTATCCCTGGTGTTATAGGATGTATCGACAGCACCCATGTAGCTATAATTCGGCCAACAGTCAATGAAGAGAGATTTTTCAATAGAAAACATTACCACTCTTTAAATGTTCAAGTTGTAAGTACAGTATTTTATGTAAAATTTGCATAGTGTATAAATAATTCTCAAGTTATTCATATTTGTCACTATCTGCAAATATCTTTATAATGTTTGTCCTATTTTTTAGATTGCTGACAGTAATTTAAAAATTATGAATATTGACACCTCTTATGGTGGTGCCACTCATGATGCATTCATTTGGGAGCATAACGAGATCAAAGATCATTTGGAGAGTCTTCAAGGAGAAACAACTTATTTGCTGGGTAAATAAATCGTAATTGTTAACTTTGTAGTTGTACTACATATAAAATTGGTGAACAAACAAGAATACAATGTTTTGTCATTCCTTTTCATTATTAGGATGTCATAAAAGATGATTATAGATTGTATTTCAGTATTTTTTATGTTAAATATTATTAGCTGATATTATATTGAATAGTCTATAAGCTATCAAGTGCATTTATCAAATTCCAAGTCTCACAGTTAAGTATGTTTTCTTTTCTTTCAGGTATATAAAGATTAGAAGAGAGCCATACGTTCTATTTATGGTATGGGTTCGAGATAGTCATTATATCAAGGCTTTAAAGAATCAAATATTCACCGTTGCCTCACAGTACATTTATGAAATATTATGTATACAAGGAAAAACTTAGATAGTTTCAAGAAACTTAAAGACTGTACAAGTAGAAACTTATGCAATAAAAATATACTAATTTTACCTAAATGCTGTTAAAATTGATATTAAACAAATGTTATGTAAAAAAGCCTATTATAGGATAGATGAATTCATAGATGACAGCAATATAATAAGTTTATTTGAATAAATGATTTTCTATTCTATTCTATTAGAAGTTACGGCATTACTTATTTACAAAATTAAAAACTTTTTACAATAAAATATTTTTATTTTATAATCACATATATGTAGGTATATATATATATAGATAAAAGTAAATCAAAATTGTATATTAAACATTTTTTAAAATAACACTAATTATAAATGATTAAACATTCATTCAGAAAAATGTTGTATAAGTATATGCAAACTAAGTAGTGTAGTTCAAGGCGCATTAAATTAATGACCAGTAAAAAACTATAGTTTAGTACTTTGTGTCTTTGTTAATACTTATATAAAGCTAAGTAACATTTTTATACTCATTATTTTCATCTATTCAGTCGTCTTAATTCTATTTGTAGACCATCCAATCGATCCCTTATTAATACATTTAATTCCTGGAGTGATTGGTGAATCAGCCCTGACTCTACCACCCGATATTTCGAACAAACGCCTGCGTACACTTCCAATGGCGTCTGCTCGACGGCGTCGTCGCTCTGGACGTGTAGTAGCCGTAAGTTCTAAAAAGTTTTTTTAAAATAATTATTATCATTATTGTTTTCGGTATGCATGATTGGTACTAATACCAGACTTGATGTCTAGGAATATACTAGTGATTAGGACTATAAGCCCCCATTACTAATAATCTTAATATTTACAGAAATATTTTCATATAACAATAATTTATTATGATATAAATTTTTTAATCAATAATAAGGTATAAGTAAGATTTATTAGTACTGTCTTATCTTTTACTTCTTAGTTAACATTGAAAAACTGTGTATATATATAAAGGTACCAACTCTGTCTCAACTCATATTTCTGCTATGAAGCAGCTGTTCTTGCATAGCTGTATTTCAGTTTGAAAGGTGGGAAAAGGCTATTTAGGTACCTTATATACAGAAATAAAAGGAATGGTAATGCATGAGGAATACTATGGAAGTCACCATGTATTTTGATGACATCCATTATGTTATATATGTCTAGAGATAACAGTTAGCACTATTTTAGTAATGGTTTTACAACATACCTCTGGAAATGCAGGAACATGTGCATCCGACTGAGGTTCTCCAAAGCCCTCTCCCATAATACCCAATATTCTGCACTGTATTGGGTTTAAAGGCTCAGCAGATGATGGCCCTACCCCAGTGGCTGTGGCATAGCAGCAGTAGCAGCTTTTTTAGTTAGATATTTTTTGTCAGCCCATACCTAAAATTTATAAAGTATCAGTATTGGAAAATTTTATTTAATAACAAAATTATTTAACATTTTAAATGCATATCACGTACTAAAATATCAAGAAAAGTGCTTATTCTGCCACTGCTTTACAGTTTTAGTGCATCCACCCAATGCATTGAGTTCGTCTGTAAGACGAACCCATAATTGGGTGGATCTTGTTCGCCCTTCTGCATTTCTACAGTGGCCTTTCTAAATAGATGTTCATTTTCATTGATGTTTAACGAACAAATTTAGCAATAAAAAATCATTTAAAAACACTTGTGATGATAATTCTTAAGTTTATATATAAAAAAATAAAAACAAAAATTCAAATGTAAATAGAGGTTTGACGTTTTCTTATGACATAAAATACTACTAATTTTAGAAGTTTATAATTTCAATACATTTAAATATAAACGACTGTACATTTTATTTTATCCGGAGTATACCACTTTATTTTTTTCCTAATTTAAGAGTGTATAATAAAAGACTTCTCATCTTTCATTCGTTCACGATCATAGTCTATGGTACCCGTCCGAAATATCTTATTCCGAAGAAACTTCATGGTTCCTTTAAACTAGTATTTCGGTCGTCTTTCGTTTCGTTACGCGATAATCGGCAGTAACTTTCGTGGTAGACCTACTGATATATTTACTGAAGTGGGTGTAGATGGTTTCAATACTATTATTGGGAACAGCGCATCCGCGCCAACTCAGAGCGTGTTATTAGACCGTTGAGATTCTCCACTGCTTGGGTGCTATATATTTCTCCATTTAGAAAATAAACATGCGAGAGGTATACCAGCGAAATCTCAATTTTGTATGGGTGTGTAACCTTACACGTATTATTAACACAATGATTACTTGCTCAGTGTTACACCGCATCCTTGAGTAGTATATTCTTTGACCGCATCTGTCTGTTGTCTATACTGTCAAGCTGTCAACTATATTATCATTTCAGTAATTCACATCACAATTCATAATTTCATTTTATAATTATCGTATACCTCCTACAAAACTGAATTAAATATAATACCTTCTGTAATAAGAACATTAATATTATTTATATATAAATGCGTTTAGTTTTTAAATAAGCCATGCTAATTTATGTTTATTTATTAAAGTGAGTCGGAATAAATATCAGAAATATTGTGCAGCGTTTGTATTTTTTGTCTCTAATAAACCAAATGGATTCGCACGCGGACCGAGTTTCCGAAGGTGGCGATACGGAGGATTTACCCAGTGACTTTTTTGATGACTTTAGTAAAGAGGATTTTATAGAGAGTTTGAGCGTAGTAGACAGTTGGTGCGATGACGATAATAAAAAACGTAGCTCTCGTATTACTGAGACGGAGTTGCAGAATGTTAAGGACCTTCGAGAGTTAATAGGTGACGACGATCGGGACAGGAAAAATAAAGGATCCAACTCGAAGTATAATGATAGAAGTAAAAGAAAAGATAATCAATCATTACCCAAGAAGATAAAGCCATTCCAACGGGATAGTCGGCTGGATGAATTTATTAAACCAGGTAGCCGCCGAGATCCCAGCAAAACTAGTGAGGCTATTAGGAAAGATAAGGAAGTCAAGGTAAAGGAATATTTGGACAAAGTATTGGAAGGAACTGATGACATTCGTCCTCCTGGAACAGAACTGGATGATTATTTTAATGAAAATAAAACAGAGGAAAAACGAAAAACTTCAGCTGTTGAAGGATTCTTTACTTCAAAGAAAGAACCTATTTGGGAATCTAAAACAAGAAGACATAGCCCACATTGGAGCCCGAAGCGCCAACAAAGTCCACGAATAAGTCTTCAGAGGAGTCAACGAAGAAGCCCATGGAGAAGTCCACGAAGGAGCCCACCCAGAGCCTCACGAAGGAGTCCTCGTCGCAGTCCTCATTACAGCTCTAGATGGAACTCACGCATACATCATAGTTCATATAATTCAAAATTTAGGCGCTATAGTCCAGCACAGCGAAGTCCTCATAGAATTAGTCCATCTAGTCGTAGTCCACAAAGGCGTAGATACTCAAAATCTCCAGTTAGACATAAATATAACAGATCATATTCTAGATCACCCATTAGGAGGGAAAGTCCTTTATATACTCCAGAGCCATATACATATTATCCTACTGCTAATTCACAATACACGGCAGATCCACATTATCCTGCACCTGTACAATCTGATGATTATGCAGGTGGTATGCAAATGTATCAGCAGGCACCATTTTATCCTGCAGACTACAGTGGAACTAGCTATGATTATGGCGTACAACAAGTACTACCAGCTGTACAACCACAGCCAGTTCCAGCTCCATTAAATATAGGGTCTGTAAATCCTGTTGCACCACCACTAAATCCAGTTGCCCCAATTCTGAGTGAAATGTCACCTGCCATGGTCCCACCACCATCACAGCCTGTGTCTACGTCAGTAGTAAATGATGCGCCTGACCAAAGTATGGTAACACCATATGATGCTTTGGCACAAGTAAATATATTAATCTATATTTATTAATTAATACATTTTTTTTTATTTGTAGAACAATATAACAGTTTTATTGTCATGTTTCAGTTAGTTGCAGAAGGAAAACTTTCTAAAGAGGATTATTTGAAACTTGCTCCCAATAAAGGTAATTTTCCATGTGAATAAGAATGAGTCAATATTGTTGTGAAAACATCTCAATCACATGATTATTTATATACACATGTTATTGTTAAATATTTTATTAATTATTGCAGGTGTAGCATCCTCTACTATGGACTGCACAGAAAGAGTTAAAGGTAGGTATATTAAATGTTTTAGAACAGCTTTTTTTTACCTTTACCTTATTGGAGAGTTAATTTGTCAAGGAAGAGAAGCTTGCAATAGCAATGCTGTCAACTGTACTCTTTCATAGCTTTAATATACCTAATTAATTTTATTATGACGGGACTGGATGTGACAGATTTAATCATTATTATATTAAGTATTATTTTATTTATTGTGATACTTCATAAAATAATTTTATAATGTATGTATTGGTGATTTCCTTGTTTGTAATATTATTTCCTATGTATTAATGATTGTTAGGGCAACTTGAGAAGGTTGGTCACTGTATATTATGACCAGCCCAAGGATCAATTCAAGCTCAAATCATAGCCCAAATAAACCATGATTCCTTAGGCTTTATTAATATGAGCCAGACAAAGTCATAATTTTCTGATTTCAAATGACTTTTTTATTCATATTGATTGGTCCATATTATTACTGCCTGATTAATGAAGTTGCCCATAACATGTTTCATTATAATAAAATTTTGGTTGCAGTATTGAAGCGCTGCAATGATGCTTTGAGCAAGCTATCCACACTATGTCTACCAAGTCGTTTACTGATAGAGCAGCATGATACCCCAGAAATTAAATCTCTACCCCCCAAGTTTTGTTCACCATTGAAGAGAATACCACCTGTCGAGTTTCACTTCACAAAGGCAAGCGGATCGACAACTGCTCAACAGAATAGGCAGCTCGTCAATAGCATCATTGCGACAATAGGTTTGGACAAATTAGTAGGGTCTAAAAAGAAACCACGAAGTAATATGATAGATGCTGCTGTTCAAACTACTAAAGTTCATTGTGATCTTTGTGAAATTCGAGAATCTACACAGTTCAACGAAGTAGGTACATCTACAGATCCAGGGCATTTTTCTGAATCAGTGCACACTCAAGTTGTGGAACAAGATTTAATTAGTTCGAAGGCTGTTTTCAACGTAAGAGGAAGTGTTTCTGACGGTGCTCCTATATCCATCTCACATCTCACTCCAGCGCAGTTGGTGTCGCAGTTAGCAGCCCGCGCCAAGACACTGAAGCAAACGTCGGACCCCATGCCGTCTTCCAGTCAGTTTACTAGAAGAAATCCTAGCAACAGTTATGACTACAGTGACAGAGGGGGGCAACATTATTATAATAATAACAAATATAGATATTAATTATATCATTGTTGGTGTATAATGGTTTATCTGTGTTCGTTGAAATGAAAGTTAATAATTTACTGATCCTTTAAGTCACAAAGGCGTGTTTACAATAAAATTAAGGCATGAACAATTTGTTTTATTAATTCCAATTGCACTATAAAAACATTTTATTTTGACAGATTATCACTATTGTACTCATATGCGATCTATATGTGTATATTTGTCCTAATAATTTATCTTCTCTCATCTTTCTCTAAGATTTTTAAATACTTATATTATATAACAATTATATTATATTATATAAGGAATTACATCTTAATCTTACATTTCCAAAGCATGTGTTCTCTTGTACAGTGCTTTCATAGACTTATTCGTAACTTATTAAATAATTATATATTAATAAATTATATAATTTTGCTGTTTTCTAGGACAGAAACTTAGAAAAGAATTAATTATTTGTATGTTACTTCCATAAGGGTACAAGAGCAGTAGAACCAGTACTAGGTGCTAATATTTTTGTTATTTATTAGTTTTATTTTATATAAAATTTATGTGGCGTGGAGATTAAAATGGGCCCTGTGGTTTATTATTTGTTTATATTGTTTGTTCTAATATGTCCTTAAAAATGAAAGAAAAGATATGAAGAGTCACATATTTGGCAGCGATATCAAGAGTTTGCCTGCGTTTCGAAGAACAGTACTTTCTAAATGGCGTGTCAAGATTATGGAAGACCTGATCTAACAGTATACCTGTGGACACATGTGGAACATGATATGAAGGATGAGAATTAATTTAAGTCATGTGTACATATACAATATAACTACCTATTAATATATTTACCATAAACCTTCTGAAAAGACCGCGTGGCGATCGACCTTATGGAGCATTAATGCCCTGTATAAATGGGAGAGGATTGGGGTACTAACACCCACTCCTCTCCCCTCTTTAGCAGCCGGTTTATTTTAATAAACATACTGTACCAGTATGGTGTACTGACTGTACCTACGATATATACTACTGTGTGTTTTATCTTGATCGCGACAAAACTGCCTCCATTTTCTCAGGAACTCAATTCACAGCGGGGTATTAGTGGAAGACGAGAATAAAACAAACACAGTCAAGCTACCGTAAACCGTTCGTCAGAATCGAGTTTCTGTAGGGGGATGTGGAGTTGCCCGTATAGTAGCTTGCTAACAATAAAGCCTAAATAAATAAAATATTGCTTTTCAAGATCCCAAGGTGGTCTCCCTCTCCTCTGTTAGTACAAATTGCACCTCTAGTTCCCTATAATAATCCCTTTCCATTTTCACACATTCTAATTACTGATATTTGGTTAAAATAAATATTTAATTTCAATGCATGAATAGGACGCATCAAAAATTCAGTTTTTTGCTTAATTACTGTGTCCTGGTCGACATATAACAGAAGGGTCAGTATAGATATACTATATTCGTTTTTTTTATTGGTTATGGGTAAATATACTAACACAAAATAAAAGTTGTAGTAATTATACCTTCTTTTTGAAGAGCCTATTTTGTTGTAGATATGTAAATGTGAATAAATAATTGCCTCCAATATTTTAGTATTATTAAAGCTTCTATCCCAAGTCATACATTTAATGTTCAGATACCTCATATTTTCCTTAGCACTACACAAGAATTCGTTTACACTATAAGGTGACGGCTCTGAGCAGCAGGAATTCTTCGTGATGCACGGAAGAGTGAATTAAAGTTTGGATATTTCTACTGAATCTTTATAATGTGGAAATGATGCCATAATTGCAGAGAACACATTGGTATTGAGTACGTACATAACAGATACGTGAATACAATGCGTTCAAACGCCGCGTGTCTTGCGCACGTATGGTGTAAAGTAAAGAAGTCTAATATTTCTGAATTCTATTGCCCGACATTTGTTTTTTAGCCAGGTAATTCGATTGAACCTTTTTTATTTGGTAAGCATTTAAATTTCAGTGTGATACAAAATATTTCGTAACGGAAACGACGGAATCAAGAATAGTAGCCAGCAACTTACGAATTTTTTTGCATCTCTTGAAGTTATGACCGTAACGTCATATTCATTTATATTTATATATATATATACCAACACAATCTCGCTGTTTTTTTTAAAGACTAGAACTCATACGACATTATAGAAGCCGTATACGTTACATTTGTAGTCCACTTGTCTACTCTGATAAAAGGGAATGTTATATTTATTATTATAATAACAAAATATAAAACAATAAGAATAAATAGCGTGTTGTAAAGGTCTATCATATCTTAGGCAGTCGTGTCCAATACAATTGCAGCTATTTTATATTTTATTTATATTCTTCATTTATGTTTGATTAATTAATAGAGAAATTTTAAAAGTTTCTTGTCATCCATTTTTACAACCTACAACCGTTATTTCATTGTGAGGACTATATAAAAGAGAATTGATGTTTAGACGTGATACGTGAAATTAACCTACACGTTGAACACGGCTAATATAGTAACATTGGATATCATACTTTACAAAAACTAGTAGTAAATTGTTATACAGATTTTTATTATATTTCATAAATATGTTACAATTTAATTGAAAACATATTACTTTATTCATCTAGGAAATCATCAAGCCATTTCTCTAAATCTTCTGGAGATTGAATAACCGAATCCTTGGGTTGTTTGGTATTTGCAGAACAGTTGTCAGCTACTGAAAGTCGAATAAATAATATCAGCCACAAGTTCAATAACATAATATAGGAGGGAACGAAGGGAGATGAGCACAAATGTTAGTACCATGTACAATGTGAGGAAACAAACCCGCGACAATCCATAATAATAATAATCTCAGGACAATTCACACAGCGCCATCTAGACCCAAGTTAAACTAGCTAAAGCTTGTGTTATGGGTACTATAACCTGAGCCTCTGAATATGATGATATTTATTGTATACTATAAATAAATAACCCTGGACAATTGACACAGCGCCATCTAAACCCACGGTAAGCAGAGCTTGTGTTATGGGTACTGGACAACTGATATTATTTCAGTAGTCCAAAAAAAAAGCATCTATATGTGATATAGATACTTTTTTTGTAAATACATACATAATATACGTAGAAAACATCCAGACCGATACACACAATTATACTCGTGAATACAAATGTTTGCACCGTGCGAGGAACCCGCGACCATCGGAAGTAAAATGGTGTGCTAAATCGCTAGACCAACGAGGCTGTTGAAACTATAAAGATGTTCAGATGATTTTTTTTATATCAAAATACGTTTGGTTCAGCGATGTCGTAGCCAATGGATGACCGACAGGGGATTGTTAGTAATGAGGACTCATAATACCATTACTAGCAATGCACCCTGTCAACAAACAATCGCGATAAATTCCTGGTAAATTTGTCACGATTGGCTAAAACCTCATGTCATCTTATCATCCTTCACTGGTGCCCCGCCACGTAAACCGTAGTTTCCATTATCAAAAAAAAAAAAAAAAAAATGGATGACCGACAATTCCATATTGTAACATTTTTACCAGTGACTAAAAACCTGTCTCTGTGGGTACCTTAGTTTCACCGAATTTAGCTACCAAGCCTTGTAAGATGTGTCAGTTGGCTCTAGGGCGCGATTAGTTAGTGATAAAGGATAGGAGGCATGGCAAGTCCTTTAGATTGTTAAGGTATTAGTAATATCCTATAAAATAAATAAATTACCTTTAGGTATTTTAGATTCTAATTTAATTTCAGGGATATCTGTATTTACAATATCTTTATTGGATATTAAATTGTCAATATCATCTGAAATTAGCTCATCTGTATTCTTCAATATTTGATTGGTATTAGTTTCTTTTGAGCTTTTTAGTGCTGGAGTATTTATTTCATTAATGTCATGCTTTGTTTCAGATTCTAATTTAATATGATTTTCAATTATAGAGGGCTTTTTTTCTATAGATGATTGCTGAGACACATATTGTGCTGCATCTTCTTTCTCCTCAAGTTGTATGTTTTTTGAAATCTTTTTCTTATCATCTATTTCACACACAACTTCTTTTAAAATATTAAGCATTCTATTTTGTCCTTCCAATTCTGTAGTTGTATATGATTTGTCATTATAATACTTTTGCTTATTCTTAATGGCCTTATTATTCATGGTCAATATATCAGTAGATGAAAAAATGTCTTTATCTATACTATTCCTTTCATAAAAAGGCACAGTGGAGAGAGCAGTAACCAGGTCATTCATGTTTATTTCAAAGTATTTGTCATACAGTGATGGTCCTATGTTTACATCCCATGATTTTTCATGTTTAAATTGGAAATGACCTCCAATAGACATGGGGGTCTCTGCAAGTTTCTGTAAATAAAAAGTATGCATATATTGATTTTACATTATATACAATTAAAATCACATAATGGGGGTATTGTGAACATTAAACTATGATTAAATATAAGTATTATTATTTATGTAAGTACAACTGTATATTATAATTATTATACTTGTATGATAATATTGACTTTTATATTGCCTCATACAGGCCTATGCATAATTAGATTAGATCATATTTTTATTAATTGTTAGATATTTTTATAGGTAAGTAAATCATAAACTAAAATTTAGTATATTTACCTCATAATCAGCACCCATATTTTCTTCTTCTAATTCATCATAACTTTTAATTGGCATTTCATATTTTGACCAATTGCTTTGGATTTCCTTTTTTTTATATTTAGAATTTTCTTCTTCAGTAATTTTGAGAATATCATCAGTTTCTCGTTTTAGGTTTTTGTAAAATTCAGGTCCGGGGTCTTCATAAGTTGGTTGGAGGGGCACTGTAACTAAATAATTAAATACAATAGTATATATGGAGTGTAAAAAATTAAGAGATATAGGATTACAATTTATACCATGAAAGGTATTTGTTGTTTAATATACCAATTTAACTGGTAGTAATTATAAAAGTTGAGATGGAAGTATACTTATGCACATAGTACAAAGCCTCCCCACTTTCAGTGGATAAGCATTCTTATATAAAGTTTGTATCAATACTATCAAGGATAAATTATAAGGTAGAGCAAGATTTCATTTAGTTACCTCTCATTTCATAATGGAAAGCATTGATATGAGATGCAGGTATTGAAAACTATAATACTAAGACAGCTTTTTTTCAGTAATTTGTTTCCCTTTGATAGGGCCCTTCCTCATTATTGAATATTAGATGCCGAAGTATTGGGAGACATCAACAGTATCAATATAGCAAAGTTGTCAAGAATTATAGACATATTGATCTTATTTTATTCTTTTGTTTAGAGTTTTTGGATAATGGTGCCATAGATTTTTTTTAAACATCATGTTAGTATTTATTAAATGTTGATCAATCTGCAGTTGCAGATTCGATTCTTTATGGTATATATCTGGTATTTATATCAGTTGTCTTGTACTCATAACTCAAGCTCTGATGATGATGGACTGAGGACTGATGGCACTGTGTCAATACTCCTGGGTTTGTTATTGTTAGATATAATTATATACTTAAGTATTAACCTTTATGTCCTTCGGTCTTCTCAACATGAGCTGTTTTGTTTTCAACAAAGGCTGCCTTTTTATTAGCTGCACCAATCTTTTGTCGCCCTTGGCGAGGTTTTCTTTGCTCCTTAGGGTCATCTTTGTTACTTTTTGATCTAAAAATCATCAATTCATAAAATTAATGTTTAATAATAGTAATACGGGAAAAAGTGATGCAAACGAAGACACAGCACAGGTCAGCTGGTAACAAATAAAAATATAATTTATAGATAATTAAAGTAAATAACTTACTGATTTCTCCTATCATCTGGCATGTTGTAAACAATATCACTGTGCAAATAAAATCACTATTTTAAATAGATAGAAATTTTGTTTAGTCTAAAAAAATATAGAGCATATTGGGACTAAATAAAAAATACTAACTCAAGTACCCAGACGTTACCAATTACCAGATGTTTTAATATTTATGTATAAAGATCTTAACGAACTAACGAAGAAAGAAATATGAAAATAATAACCATTTCCTTTTGTCCACCGTACCTATCTAAACATATTAAAAGCAAAAGTGACAATAAAGTTATACCTATATATAGTTTAATAAAATAACCAAGCTATACTATAGTTCTGACAATAAACAAACAATAAAATATTTTTTATAAAGCGAGTTCAGGCTACCAACTTTCGCCGTTGATTTTTTTTTAATTTTTTATTTATTGAATATTTTAGGCTCTGGATACAAGTCCTTTTTAGCCCAACATAAAATACAAAAACTTTAAAAAAAAATACAATTTCTTCACAGTGTTGGAAATTGATGACTAATAAATGTTGCCATTCTATCCATAGAATTGAAATAATACATGTTCGAATAATTATAAGTTTTTGAAATAAGAATATTTTTTACAAATGAGGCCAATATTTAAAAATATAATTTTATGATATAGGTTATATTGCAACGTATATCAGTTTTCTTTTCAAGTGTGCATTTCCTGATAATAGATAGAGCTATATTGAAACTTGCAGGTGAATAGAGAATGTACTTCGAAAATGCATATTAACTGCTCGGCCAATTTTTTATTTTAATTGAATGATTTACTAATGAACTGAAATAGACCAAATATCTAATTTGTGTAAAAAGTCTTTTGCAGGTCTCAATCTCATCTATTTCAGCCGCCAAGCAGTTTGCTTATTAAGCTGTTACAGTTGTAGGGTGAGATAATGCAGGGAATTTAAAGCTTACATCTTACTAACATCTTAGTCCTCCGGAATGACAAAGTATGAGTCATTGCTGTTAAAAAGATAAAAAAAAATGTGCTGGTGCCGAAGTGCCGGTTATGGTATACATAGATGACGGTTGCCGCTTATCATCAGGTTTTACATCAGCTTGTTCGCTATTCCAATTCCAAATGAAAGAAAAAAAATCCTAGTTCATAATTTAATGATAACACCTGATAGTAAAAACACAGATAACATAATATTACATAATGCACTAGTTTCTACACTTACAACAGTGATTAATCTATATATGTCTTTAGACAGCTATATTGATTTGTAGAACTTCATCAAAAATGTATCCTTTGGTATAGACAACAAATAAGATATGCTATAGACAATACGTCCAAGAGCGCTGTATGTCGGTTTGGATCAAAACTTTAAAGCTATTTAAAGATGCTAGCATTGATTGTTTACGCATTCATAGGGTAGGTGTAGTATCAGTGGGTGGCCCTCTTAGAACACAGATGCATTCTGTTTTTACTGTATTATGTTAAGTACACAGCTCGTTGATGGTTGGTATTTTTTAAAGAATGAATATGGAATAGTGCATTCTCCTGCAATAACGGTGTACAGTGGCATCAAAGAGGACGACGACAAGCATGAAATCGGATCCGTTAGCCCATCATACCGAATTTACTATGATGGGAGAACCTCATGGAAATCGATCTAATTGGGTATGTGCTATCAATGGTGACAACTTGTCCCCATTACCAACCATCCTCTCACTTCTGGATCGGAATTACATTAGTAGTTCAGTCTTGATAATCCGGGCATGATCCCAATGCTAGCAATGTACTATATTAATATATTTTTTTGATGAATCATCATCATTATCATCATCGTCGCAGCCCGGAAGACGTCCACTACTGGACATAGGCCTCCCCCAAAGATCTCCACAACAATCGGTCTTGCGCTGGTGAATATCACCGAGGAATATGAAACAAGAATCCTGAATACCCATGGATTGGGGGGAAGGAGATTGTCATTGTCATGTCAATATAGAATAATAACCCCATTGCTAATAATGTATCATGTCAATTGACCTCCACGCGGTCCTGGAAGCCATCGTGGTAAATTGCTATTTGCCAAGATGGGCTAACTGACCTCACTTCATTCTGATTTTATCATCCTCCACTGGTACCCCACCAGCGTAAATCGTTGCCGCATTATTCCATTATCATCCATGGATAGCTTGGTACTTTCAAGTATATTTGCATGAATACGACCGTGGCTTATCTACAGTTGTTAGTCAGATTTTGCCAGTTCCTCATCGGTGTTTACCGTCACCGGTGAATTTCTTAGAATTAGGTAATATTAGAATTAAAACTTTTATTTTATTTTAAACTTTTATCAGAATTAAAAATTTACAATTTTTTTAAGCCAGTTGCCAGCTTACAGTTTTTGGGTGTTAGGCTTAATATAAGTTTCTGCCCCACGACGCATTTGTTTCTTATTTAATACTAGCTGTTACTGCCAGCTCCTTATTAGCTATCTGCGAGTGAAAGTCTCGTCAAAATCGGTACAACTGTTTCAGAGATTAACAAGAACAAACTGACAGACATACACATTTATTTAAATTTAATTATTTGGTGTAAGTTCCGTATATTTTCATATGCCTTTTGTTAAAAGTTATTAATTTGAAATTACAAACAGACACTTCAAGATTGGAATATACTTAACCAAGACTTTGTTGACTTTACTTTGGATGGATACAACAACATGGTTTTGTATTAGTAATTATTACTGAATTTGGCACCCCTATTGACCATTCTACAGTTCTACTATAGACTTGTAACAGAATGATATCAGACATGTCTGACTGTACCAAAATAATATTTATAAATCGATAATAGGCAAGACTGACTGATCAACACCATGTCCAACTATAGCTAACTGAAAATATTAATTTTAAACATATTTACTTAAAATAACAATATCCTATGTAATAAATAGGTATAATAAATAGTAATTAATTGTAATTATTTCTTGAAATTTCCACGAACATAAGTCTACTGGTTCATGCAGATAAAGCCGCCGTAATAATTTAGCAATTCATATTATCATCATGAATTTTGGATTTAGATAGATATAAAATAAATAAAGAAATCCGAGTGCGGTACGATATGAGCACAGGGGTGACGCATAGCGCGTGCGCTATGTAGGGGCTGGCGCAGTCGCCATGCGCCCGTCCTCAAAACAACATGGCGAGTTGCGTCCCTCAAGGACACATTTGACAGCCCCGCGGAATATATCGCCAGCTGTGTTTAAGATACGAAGCGTCCAAAATTTCAAATAATAAATAAAACGGACTACATTTTTATTCGTGAATTGTGTGTACTAGTGCCGTGCGTTAGAAGTGTGTGTTTACTTATTGGAACACCGGCGCCCCTTACGCCCCGATTGTTTCCAAAAGGTATGTACAAAACAATAATAAACCTTTTGTGTGGGTCTACTCTTATGCGATCGTAAAATATTTTTTTATGATATGATTTAGACATCTTAGTAATGAAATATGTGTAGTGACTTATTTTATAATATGTGATTTATTTATATTGAAGTGAATATCTGTGGACCTACCTGTATTTACAATTACAACACTAGATAACACCTTCGACGTTGTCTGCATGAAAATTGTTTGCCGTCAAATATCCTGTGTGCTACAATTCATTCTTAGGGCACCAAAGATTTATTCAAATTGGTCTAGCTACCTAGGTACCTACTTTATGTAAATATTTTTTACTTTATAAATATTTACGACAACAACATTTCTGATTTTCATCCAGACAACCATAAAAGAGGTAAGTATGTTACACCTTTTTTGTAAAATACAAAAAAACTTCTTTGAATCTATTCTCATAGGCCCCTGTTATGCCCTAACTAGTATAAACGTTCATGTAAGTTACTACTTAATCGATTTTGATATATTGAGAAATGGGACCCTGGAGATGTTGGTTTTGATACTCCCTAATGATTGACCCAATGAATATTTTAGATACGGTGAGGATAGCTTTTGAGAAAAAATCTGCGGACCATGCTAATATTATAAATGTAAAAGTACTTAAGTTTGTCTGGTTGTTACCATTTCATGATTAAACGGCTGAACGTGAAGATAGATATCCCGCGGATTACAAGTACATAAACTATATCTTATCTTAAAACAAGAAAACGAAATGGCGGAATACTGCTAGACTCATAAAAATACATATGGATGTGATTGCATATGTATTAGGTCACCATAACCACAACAATAGCTAGATCTATCTATTTTTTTTCTACAGCCATGAAATTTCATGAACAATTTTGGTTTGAAGTTAAGAAGGAATTAGAATTATTCGCGAGTAGTGTTTATCAGTTTATATTCAAATTAATTGCATACTGTGATGTTTCAATTATTTACCTTCAACACATATCTATTAATATTAATGAATCCATTTATAATGCGTATACATTTACAGTAGGAAAACTATTATTTCCTCATCATTCTAATACAAGCGCTGTACATATATGTATAATATATAGATTTTTTATTTCAGGATTGGTAGTTGACTTTTTGTAAAATATATTTTTATATTATTAGAATGAGAAGCAGGCTGATCTTTCTAATAAATATGGATAATACGTTAACATCTGACCCTTATTACCACTCACGCACTTCCATTTCAGAGGACTAAGATCTCATCCCTCTTATTCAATAATTTCACTATCTTATATCACCTTTTTACCGAAATATAGCTTACAAAATAAACTATTTGGCAGCTGAAATTGATAGAGTATATAACGGTACACAAACAGACGACTTTTTACAAATTCTATCTCGCAATGTTATAATGATTAAATATTTAAGTTATGTACTACAGCCTGGAATGTATTGTTTTGTTAACATCTTTATAAAAGCTACTGAATTATTTGCTGATTTTATTATGACCATTAATTGTAATGTTGGTAAAAAACGCATTGTATGTCTTTAACAATGGATGCATTAAACAATCGTATTATTGAAAAGTTAATTGTTCCAACCGGCTTACTTTACGTATAAGTATGTATATTATATAAAGTTTGAGTTATAATTTTGCGTATAAGTAGACATTAATCACTCATATCTACGTATTTGGGTCTACAAATGCAAAAAACGTGTCCAATCAGCATACATCGTGTTAATTATTGCTAATTTGCTATTACATACTTTTTAACTTGAAAAACTTGTCAGCAATGAAGCAATATTATTACATGAACACTTTAATTACTAACTTATATAAAAAATATTATTAATTTAATCTTTTTATATTTTATCACTTATAAGCTAACCGTCCTGGCTTCGCATGTGTGTACATGTTTTATACATATAAACCTCACTCTTATATAGTCCTCTCCTCCTATATATAGTCTCATTCTAT